ACCGGGATAACCATTCTGGATAGGTCAACGAGTGTTGAGGCTACTAGTACTCCTTTCGGGCTATTACAGTTATTGGAATATTCTATGATGCCGTAGCGGAAATTTCTATTTTCGGCTATGGATCTAGGACAGTGCTCCGCAACCGGTGTGCCGCGGCACACTGGTGTGTCATGAGTAGGATATAGGTGTGCCGCAATCAAATACATGTATCTGACATTTGGCAATTTTTTATCATGTATTTAATACACAATGACAATTTTTTTCCTTAATGTCTATTTTAAATGTTTTTATATATTTCACTGTTGTGTGGTTGTGTGTGTGATTGTAAGTGTGTCAGCATTTGAATTTTTTCGACACTTCCTTGATAACTCGGAACTCAAAAACTTTTGTGTATAAATCAATACATATATACATTAGCTTTTTGTGTGCCACGAAATTCCAGAAAGATTTTTTGTGCGTCGCAGGTGAGAAAAGGTTGCGGAGCACTGATCTAGGAAGTAAAAGCTCGGTTCTCCATCATTAGTTCCGAATAGGGCTATGTCCTCAGATGTAGAATGCAATTCGTTATTTTTAAAGTCTAAGGAAAACCTGTATTTCCTTAGAAAGTCCAATCCGAGTATAAAAGAATAGTGATCTCTGCTACATATGCCGTGTGATGGTAAGCGGCATTTCCGAACGTGATGTTTTTAACGTTTACTTTTCCGTCGATGTCGATCTTCTCACCGGACACAGTCTGGAGGGTAACGCAGGGCGGCGTCCAGATAAGTTTGTTTCCTAGTTGTTGAGCCAAATCTTTTCGGATGATGGTGACGTTGGCTCCTGTATCTATAGTCATATTGCACGGAACTCCATTAATATATCCTATTACGAAAGGTCCATTACTGCCGCCTCTAACTGCAGAAATTTGAAGCGCTTTAAACTAGGGTTTTTAATTATCTGGCAACCTCCGCCCCGCGAGATGGCCACTAATTAGTTTCCCTGCTGCTTGCTAGGAGAGGTCATAATATCCTTACCATGTCCGGTCTTAACATCCGTACGTAACGACGGAACCTGCAGTTTCGTCGTATGTATCCTTCAGCACCGCAGTTCCAACACTTTACGGTCGGTTTCTTGTCACCAATATTCCGCTCAAGGCGTTCAATTGTCTAGTTAAATCGTCTAGACGAGCAGTGACTTGATCCCCTGGGTCCTGGACTTGAGCAGTTCTGATTGGATGGCGGTCTCTACGAGTGGCTTGCTGGGCTGCCTCGAATTTCATAGCGTACACTAGAGCGCTTTTCAAATCTTTAACATCCGCCATTCGCAGTGCTTTCTGTATTTCAGGGTCCCGGATGCCATTGATGAAGTATTGCAGGGGCAGGATTTCCCTTGTTTCTGTCAGGCACTCCGAAAAGGCGTGCTATAACAGCCTTTCAACATCCGTGGCGAGCTCCTGAAGTGTTTAGGTGGGCTGCTGTTGACGGGATTTTAGTTGAAGCCTGCTGTAGTCTTTCAAACACTTTTCCCCAAAGCGCCGGATAGAGCTTCAAAGTCTAGTCTGTGATTTTCGGAAAGCGTGTGCAGGATATCCGTTGCTTCTGCTCTCAGAGAAGACGCGAGATGACAGGCCTTAACTTGGGAATCCCATCCATTCACATCCGCAACTATAGAAAATTGGGTCTTACACACTTGCCAGGATGTCTTTCCATCATATATAGATAGCTTCAGAGATGAACGAGCAGGCATCGGTAAGAATTTAAATCCCTCAGAATTGCTTCCTTCTGTCGCTATTCTCTTCTTTAAAGTGGCAACTTCTTTGGCAACAGCAGCAGAAACCCTTTCCTCAATTTGTTGTTGGACGGCAGAAACTCTGTTCAATTTGTTGCTCTACCGCAAAAACTCTTTCTTGAATTTCTCCAACTTTGTCTTCAACTGTATCTATTCTTCCTTCCATAGCTTCGAACTTGTTTTCTATAATGCAAATAATTTCTTTCTTCAATTCCTCTTGACCTACTTTCACTTCCTCTTTAACAGATTTCATCTCTCTTCTAACGGATTCTTCCATCTTTTGCTGACTACCTTCCTTCTTTTCATGACCAGATATTATCTCCTCTTTAACGGAATCTTTCATCTCCTCTTTAAATGATGCTTGGCCAGCTTCCATCTTTTCTTGGAATGCAGCAAAAGCAGTAATTAGCTGCCTCAATTGTTCCTCCATCGCTCTAGTATGGCATTCAAATCCCACCGCTGCCACCAAAAATTGTTGCGTGCGTACGGGTTCGTTACGAAATGAATTCAAGTCCGATGAAAAGTGAACAAAAATTTATTATTATCACAACAAATATGCTTAAATTTCCTAAAATATTCGCGCAGTATTACAATATCTCACAGTAGTTATCTTTTAACTACTCAAACGTTCAACAGAACTTAAACAGCTAGAGAAAGCTAATCCGCGAATTCGCTACAGTCAACAAGAGCAGTTTTCTAAACAAACTCTTAAAACAATAACAAACTAACTAATCATCGAATTGAGAGGTTTTCCTCCTTTTTATGAGATTTCAAATCGCGCGCGAGAATTTTCTGGAACTTTCTCGAAAACAAAAAGAGATATATTTATTTATTAAATGTTAAATGCACGTGCTCTTGTATTTTTAATTTTCCGCCGTAGCTTTCCTATAATATTCGTCACGCGCTACAGTGCACGGGGAATAAAACAATTTAATTTATAATTCAACTAACATTAGCTATTTAAATACCAAATTCGTAACAATATGAATTTTTAAAGTCTACTGACTTTTGGATTTCTAAATTTGCTTGCAGAAGATGGTCGTGGCTTAGCTTTGTTGTGAGAACCTATCAAATAAAGCATCTGTATTCAAATGCTAGAATAAACACATTTCTATTACTTTATTTATACGTTCTTTTCAGAAAATTGAAATTTAAAAATATTTTTGAATGAAAAATAGTAAAAAGTGATCTGACACAAAGGTTTTAATTAAAATTGATTTCTGCTTACTTTGTCACAATTTACAGTGCTTTGCATTTAAGTTAATTTGCAATGAAAAGATATTTATCAAGTATTCAAAGTAAAAACTTTTTTGACATCATTCACTCTGTTTTTTAACTTCAAGATGAAGAAGAAATTTTTACTTTTTTCTAATTCTAATGTCTGATATGCATCAACATTGGCTCAAAAAAGAAGAAAATTCAGTTCTTGATGATTGATGAAAAAATTTGCTTTGATAGATTTGGCAATACCAGACCTATCATTTGTTTTCGTTTAAGAGAAAAGGACATTCGGATAAAAGCAGTTGGGACGTTATATGATAAATACGTTATTTGTAAACAACATGGTCCTAGTTAATGGTACATTATTTATCCATTTTGTTGATTCTAATGCAAAGTTTAAAAAAAAAAAAAATCTGAAAGGTTTCAGATTTTAAATGAAATCCAAAGGGGCGTTTTTTTTAACGTTTTGCGTGTTACCTTTATTTATTAAATATCATGTTTGCACTTAAACCATAAAATTCATTTCAATGGCAATGTAGCAAAATAATTTTAAAATGATCATATCTTTAGATTTTCCGATATACAGTTCCGCGCGCTGAAGATAAAAAGGTTTTTCCCCCCGTAGAGTGTTGCCATTGCTCGCTTTTAAGTCATTGAGTTTGTTACTCAAAAATTCGTTAAAGTTTTACAAAGTATGAAATCGATAATAAAAGAAATTCCAAATTTCAAATTTGGTCTTCTACATGGTACGCGTACCACCGGTTGAGAACCCCTGCCTCAGTATATCGTGAGTTAGTGAATCGTCGAATTTTATCTTAGAGTGTGTTGAGCTCTGAGAACGACCGAACCGAGTCGGGAGCTGTACTTTGGTGTATCGTCGAGTGCATCGGGAGTTGTAGCGTGGAGAGTTTCGAGAGTACGTAGAGTTCTGAGAACGGCCGAGCAGAGTCGGGAGCTGTACTCTGGAGTTTTGCCGTGAAGCTGTCTTCACTGTTATAGCCTGATAGCTTGAAGGCTGTGTCGCTGATTGTTTCAGCGTGTTTATAGTAGTTCTTCGACTACTGTAAAAGTGGTTTTAGAGCTGTCTTTGAATAATACTGGGTAATAAATTTTGTTTCAATACGTCACCAAGTGTCGTCGTTATTCACTCCGAATCCACGAACCCTTAATGTGAGGAGAAAATTGTAACAATATTAAGACTAAATTTAAATTAGCGTTCTCATCTTACTTCTGTTAAGTATTACTTAAATCAATGTATCTCATAATGATAGGATGGCTCTGAACTTTTTTCATCACATACTATACTGTAATTATAGTTTCATATAGCACGTTAAATTTTATGTAACATTATTGTTCTTAATTAATTTAATGATTCATTCCGTTAAAGACTTTGATTTCTTTTATTTTATCTATATTTCCATGCTACCAAAACCAAATCATGATATTAATTTTTACTACGAAGTTTTTAGCTAATAAATTAATAATGTATATGTTTTCTTTTTGGAGCTGGAAACTGATAGAAACGGAGAAATGGAAAGTACTTGTAAATGAAATGTATGCCTCCTTGTTTTTTTAACTTCCATTTGTTCCGTGTATCATTTCAAAATATTGCACGCAAGGCTATTCAGAGTCCTTTCCAAATGAATAAATCAAAACATATATGCTGGCATTTCGTCGGCATTTTAAATTCAATATCCGTTTACGAGTATTTTTTTTTTTTTTTTTTTTTATTTTTGAGATCATGTTTCGTGTCTTCATTAAAAAGATTTGTTCTTTCCTAATCTAACTCATTACATGCCAAATTTCCAAATGACAGCAGAAGTGCTAAAAATAACTTCTCGAAATTAGCAAGGGGGGATTCGCAGAACTAGATGTCATTGATTTGAAGTGACATGATTTGAAGTTCATAACAGACAGATGGCGTTCCAAACAAATGGGCGAAGTTGTCCGGAAACAAACAGTGATTGCAAATTGGTCTGATTCAGAGTGTTGGATCGCGATAGTAAAACTTAATCTTACAGAAACTTTATCATTAAATAAGTAAGATATTTGGATTAAATACACTGAAACATTCTGCGGAATTAAGGATTCATACAATGGATATACCCGAACTTCCGGTCACAGTTTCAGACTGCTAATGGATTTTCGCTGCCTTCAGCGTAAACACTGCAAAATAATTTCCGGTAATATATTTCCTTTTTTCTTATTTATGTCTTATAAATTAATATGTTTTTCCATATTCCCTGCTTTCTTGAACAGTTTCTTGTTTTTATTAGAGATAACTTTACTTGGCAATCTAATCTTCTCCGTTATTTCGTACTTTTGTATATTATAGCTTATAAATTAGGTTAGTTTTGATACTGACACTCCAAGAAAATATTAATGTTTACTGCTTATGAATTTGATTTCATTAATAATAGTTTTTGCAGTATATCTGGGTCAGTTAATGTGCTTTTCCTAGTCACAGCCGGAGGAAATTTCATACTTAGTAAGTTGTAGAGACACTGTGTAATTTCTGAAAGCATGAAAGATGAAAAATGAGCAATGCCCTCGCCGAGACTCGAACCACGGACCTCTCGATTTGCGCCGAGCGTGCTGACTACTACACCACGAAGGCATGCTAAGAAGGCAGGAGAAATACTTTATGTATTTCCCCTTTTAAACGGCGATTGGAGATTAGGGGACCCAATCGCCAAATCCTGGTAGTCATCCACCACCTTTTATAGTTCGGGCGCCACTGTAGAGTCATTAGATATTTTTGAAGCAGGAGACGTGAAATATAAGCAATGCCCTGGCCAGGACTCAAAACACGGACCTATCGAATACGCGCCGAGTGTACTGACTACACCTCGAAGGCATACTAAGAAGGAGGGAGAAATACCTTATAAAGTAAGCTTTGTTTTTACAATTCTCAAACAGTGCTGACGATTTATACAATGGATAAATGAATGCTTGAGTCACTCGTTTATTACTACAAAGTGAGTCACTCATAAGGGATATAAGTCACTCATTTTGCCTTGTGAGTGAATCATTTCGCAAGGAGTAGAGGATGTAACTTGTTCAAAATGTATGAGAATATCATGGATTGAATTCCAAAATCCCTATGCTTTTCTACTTGAAATGATTAGGTTAGTAGATCTGAGGGACACGGAGCTGTTAGCACATCCCCTCCCCCTAGAATTCATCAAATACTGCAGATATTCCCAGAATTAATCAAATATTTAACTTTCATTGAACGCAACAATTGCCCAAAAGTTGCGGCTAGAAAATTGGCCAAAAGCTGCGTATAACCAGTACTAAGAGAAATGCATTTCTCGGAAAAGGTGCTTATTGCATTGTACACCGTTTGATCTTATAAGGCTAGTAGTGTATATTAAAAATGTTCTGTAATAAAAAAAACAATGAATTAATTCATATGATAGTTTCACATGACAGCTGATTCGTGTACTTATCATGACATAAAAATATTTCTTTTTCTTTTTGCAGATCAATCTTAAAAGAATTTTGCCTTTATCAGAAACTTACAATGGACTTCGAAGATATTCTAAGCGATGTTGGCAGTTTTGGACTGTATCAAAAAATTTTACTTATGGTAATTCTCGTCCCAGCCTTCATTCTAACTCCATGGTTCTCACTGGATATCATATTCTTATCCAATACTCCAGACCACTGGTGTTACGTACCAGAGGTGGCACATTCAAATTTGTCAATGGAATTCCAGAAGCTATTAATCCGGCCTCCTAGTGATAGGTTTTGTACAAGGTACGATGTCAATTATTCCCAAATTTTACAATCTGGCAACTGGTCTGTGAATCCTGATTGGCCCACAACAGAATGTGATCATGGATGGCAATACGATAAGTCTAATTACGATGCCACAGCCAGCACCAGAGTAAGCAACACATTTTGCATCTCTGAATATAAATGGTAAAAAAGCATTTTAGTTAATTAAGATACAATAGCACGCGAACAAATATTAATTTAGAAGTCAAACAACAAAAATCAGCGTTATATTTTCAAATTTTCACAGGACTACTTTCGATGGTTTTACCGAACCATCATCTTCAGCTGCAAAAGCGCAAATCATTTGCGCTTCTGGAAACTAGTCCTGTGAAAATTTGAAAATATAACGCTGATTTTTGTTGTTTGTCTCCTAAATTAAGCATTTTAGTTATTTTGAGATCTATTGACAGCTAAATAACATAACGATTCGTATAATAATCAGATATCGAATCTTATCTAATGCCATAAATCTACGTTTTCTATTACTCTGCATCTTTCTTTGACCTTCTATAATAGGTCAGTAATATTATGTTTAAAATGAAACATTTTTTCAAGAAGTATTTATATTATTATAAATTTATTTCTTACCAATCTTTATAATTAAATAACATAACGATTCGTATAATAATCAGATATCGAATCTTATCTTATGCCATAAATCTAGGTTTTCTATTACTCTGCACCTTTCACTGACCTTCTATAATATGTCAGTAATATTATGTTTAGAATGAAACATTTTTTTCGAGAAGTATTTATATTATTATAAATTTATTTCTTACCAATCTTTATAATTGGATGAAAAATTGCAAATACATTCCTTCAAATACAAAATTATTTTAGCGATGAGATAAACAGAGAGAAAATTACCTTAGAAAAAAGTCATCCTTTATTCAGTAGATATACATCTTTAGAATGATGAATAATAAGGGTTCGTGGTTGAGATTTACACTTAGAAGAGCAGAGATAAAAATGTATTTTAACCCTTGAGAGTAGTTGACGTTCTGTATGCTTCTATAAGTATCTTTAAAAAACAGAAATTCAGGGGGAGGAGGACATAAGTCTTATGAAAATATTATCAGTGGTGAGAAACTTTCCAAGGCCGCTTACTAAATGTATAGGTCTTCTTGTATATACTTTTTATTATTATTATTAGAATTACTACTTATTTCTGCAGAAGAAATAAAAAATATGTTCTTTTTTCGGTAAAATTAAAAAATAAATTACGTTTTATTTCCATAAACACACAATCCATTTCAATTTCAACTGAAATAAAATTATATGTAAGTTATCTTTTATTTACTTGGGCTCTAAACCTAAGCATATTAGCTAAAAAAATATTAACTTCTTCATGGATAAAACGTTTTTGCTCCTGTAGAAAAGGAACCCAGATAATATCACCCTTCAAATTTATAACCCCTTAATTTTAAGCAGATAATCTTTTTATTTTTGCACCAAAATTTGCAAAGGAATATGCTTTTCATTAGCTTAAAACCAGCTGCATAACCTAGCTCTGTTCAACAAACAGTAAATTAATGTATTTGCGTAGAATGTAATGTTTTACGTAATAAAATACTAAAATTAGCACTAAAATAATATCTCATATTTTTAGAAGCAGAGTACTTGTTACAGCTGATAAAAGAATTAAGGAATAAGCAAAAAACCAATTTGCCATTGTAAAGCACAGTAACCTACTTTTACAGGTTACGTAATTGCTGTACATTTTTACCAATCCAAGTGTGATTACATTCCTCTAAAAAACAGCACTAGCTTCTCCTACATATCATACCTATTCATTTAAATATCAATATAAACCAATTTTCCATTTAGGAGCTCCTCTATGTAACACTGCATACGGTGCTTTTATTTAAATTAATAGCTTCTTAAAAGCACATTCTATTTTATTATTTAATGAATGTAAAAATTATTAACAACATAAATAAATTAATAATAGGCTATTGGCTGACGAACAACAACAAACTATTCGAATAACTATGATATAAATTGCAATATGTCGATGTAAAATATCGACATCTATCGACGCTTGAATCCGAGAGTATTAACATTTATCGATGTCTAAGGTAAAATATCGATACCTGAATCCAGATAATCGGAAGTGTATTGCTGATTTCTTTCCTATGCTTATGATTCAGCGTTCCATCAATTTCTGCCTCATATTTTGCGTGTCCAATGATGCGAAATCAGATTAATGTTCAAAAAGAGTTTCTTTATTATGCTAGTTTCTTACTGAGCGATAAATCAATTGTTAATATCATTGATCTTCCTGCAAATTATCTCCTATTTTTGAGTTAATAAATCCAAATTTTGATTGTAATAAATCAAATTCTGTTACTTGAATGTTACACGATTAATTACGCACAAAATAATTAGTGAATCTGTTGTCTGCAAACAAGATAACGGCTGTAAAAAAGTGCAAGTATACAATTAATTCAAGACCATATTATAACAATCTAATTCAAATTTATTACATTAACTAAAAGATGCATAGGATAAATTGTGTAAAAGGCATACAAAAAAAAACCACTGAAATTTTTTTAATTAGTAACATTTTGAGACTAATAACACTTAACAACTATAACATTTTTTTTAAGCTGCCATTCTGTAATTTCCTTAGGGTGAGGTTTTTTTTTAATCTTCAAAGAAAAAGTAGAATATTTATAGCGCTTAAGAAGAAAAAAAAAGGTAGTGTAACTATATAAATAATTTAATTTGCTATTACTTAACGTTGCTTTTTAACTGGCTGTTGCTTACGTGCTTAAGAATATTTTATATATGTTTGAAATCTGTCATTCTATAAAATGGTTAGGCATTGTGTATAACGCCTAAAACTAGTCAGCAATGTATGAAGCGCTTCATAATTCACACATTTTGTAGACTTTCTATAGAATGCCAAATGATAAACCGGCAAAGTAAGAAATACATTTCCGATTCATTTCGAAGAACCGAAACTACTTAGTGGAAGTTAGTAAATGATGTAAAAAAGCCGAAATGACTATACTAAGAAGGAACCACGGGACTACTGGCTGCTGAATTTCTAGGATGTGATGTTTGTGGAAAATAAAATTACATTCATTTAGCCTGTTAAAGAAAGCATCAGTACTATACAGTATTACGTCACGGACGTTGAGTTATTTCCCGTACTTCACGAAAACTCATTTGAGTGCCGGACAGAGACGACGTGACAGAATGTTGAAAGAACTTTCAACCAAATACAAAAACGTTACGGGTAATGATACTGAACTGTACAACTACCTTTGTAAGCCCTGCTAGAAAAAAACAAAAAGGTATTAAAAAGGGCATTGTTTTGTGAAACATATGAGTGTTTATGAATTCTATTTCCGTTGTCAGGTAGATCTTACCGATTCTCACTCTTAGCCAGATAGAAAATACAAATTTATTATGCTGTATCAAGATCATCTCACTATACTTTTTTATGTATTTAGAATAATAGTTTTTATTGGCACTCTTTTATTAATTTTTCAAAATAACTTTGAGGAATGAACGTCGTTTAAATAATAGCCTCATCATAACCTTTCTTTTCATACTATGCATAGACAGCATCTGTCAGTCTATAGAATTCCTATACTGACAGCATAAGTCAATAACTCAGATCTGTCAATAGAATTCCTCTATACAGTGTAAGAGCATCTGTCAGTCTGTAGAATTCCTCTATACAGTACCTAGACAGCATCTGTCAGTCTATAGAATTTCTCTATACAATGCCTAGACAGCATCTGTCAGTCTATAGAATTCCTCTATACAATGCCTAGACAGCATCTGTCAGTCTATAGAATTCCTCTATACAGTGCCTAGACAGCATCTGTCAGTCTATAGAATTCCTCTATGCAATGCCTAGACAGCATCTGTCAGTCTGTAGAATTCCTCTATACAGTGCCTAGAGAGCATCTGTCAGTCTGTAGAATTCCTCTATACAGTACCTAGACAGCATCTGTCAGTCTATAGAATTTCTCTATACAATGCCTAGACAGCATCTGTCAGTCTATAGAATTCCTCTATATAATGCCTAGACAGCATCTGTCAATCTATAGAATTCCTGTATACAATGCCTAGACACCACCTGTCAGTCTATAGAATTCCTCTATACAATGCCTAGGGAAAGCATGCAATAATTCTCATGTTTCATATTTGCCTAAAAAACGTCCAGCATTATATACAATGCCTAGGATTCTACAGATTGCCGGCGTTTCATACTTTGCCGGTAACATATATACCAGTATTTTGATCACTAAAAGACAAATTTCTTGATACTTTATCAAGAATATTGAAAAATAATATATTTCGAATTGATAAGTTTAAAATTGTTACTCTGATAGATAACATTTCAATATTTGCTAAAGCATTCCTGATCATTTATTCAGTAAGCATAAATTAATTCCGATGCTTGATAAGGCATTTGTCATATTTAGCGTAGTAATCTTATCGCGGGGAAATAAAGGCGAAGTTCCTGCTATGGTAATGAGATAACGGTTGCAAAGCTGTCTTACTCTATTATCCTTTATGAGGCGCCTTTATGAGAATATGAGTCCCATCTTTTAGGAGATGCTTTTGAAGACGCATCCAGAATCCAATAATGATTCTCGTTATCAGGTTCATAATCTGAACTTGATAAGAGAGCAATTTATTTATTTTTTCTTTGCCTGAAGATATATTGTTCTTCAAATAAAGAGAAGAATTTTGAATACTTCGCTTGGAAAACTTTCTTTTTCACAGATTCCTTTAAATACCTGTTTTTCATTCTTTTAGCTAGAAATTTTCGGGAGACACTGAACAATTAAAAAAGGGAACAGATCAAATTTCAAAAATGGTTACAAAATTAAAATAAGCAAGAACTTATATATACACTAAGATAATAAGTTTCTCATGACAGAATTAACATTTCACTATACACACTGATAAAGGCAAGTGAATGCTAAGCAGCACAGCACATTAACTATATCCCTGTTATACCAGTTTAGTAAATAATATATGTTTTGTACTGGCTAATGCTATAATGCATATATTACCGTGAAAGACCGAAATTGGAGAATGTCGACATTCACCGGAGAATATCAACATTTCACCAAATACGTCGGTGAAAGACCGAATATTTCACTACATTCTTGTATATTCGGACCCTCACCGGTGTATGCCGACCATCACAGATATGCTCTGGTCAAGTCGAAAAGAGAGGTCATAAAGTGCCATAATAGTTTAAGTTGTTGCAATAAATAAGATTAGAATCACATAATTTAGTAAGTTTTTAATTACTGTTATTTTATTTTCTCATTTAGAACGTACTGTATGCTTAAGTAAGTTTTTAACTTATTTTACTTTCTCATTTTGAATGCATTGTGCGTTTTAGGTTCTCATGTTCTTAAGTTCTTATTTCAAGTCTTAAGTGCGTTTATTCGCGACTGAATTACGGAGAAGAAAATATAATATTGTTATATGTTCAACATTCACCATTAGTACATAGTGAATGTCGACATTGACCGGTGTAAGTCAGAAATAAGAGTATTTGGAAAATATTTCAGACATTCACCAAGAGACTATGTGAATGTTGACATTCACGGCGGTGAAAGTCGACATTCTCCAGATTTCGGTGTTTGACCGCAACACATGTTTATATACGCCTGTCATCAGTAATTAACAACTCTCCAAAGGCATATTTTTCGCCTTTCATAGCAAGGTATGGCACATTAGGTATGAAATTACAAACAAAAATGTTTTAGATAATTAACGAAATTAAATTCATTGATATAGGAAGGGTTTAGAAGGGAGAAAAGGCTGAAAATAAACTACCTCTGATCCTAGTATCATGTAGACTTTCGACGGGGCGGAACAAAATGCTAAAGATTGTAATACCCGGATTAGAATTTTGACATGCATAATATTCTTATACATGGGAAAAGGGTGTTAAAGAAATCTTAATTCGTTACCACTTTTTTCTAAGGCGTTGGGTTGTTTACGCGAGATAAAATTTCATTTTCTCTACTGTAATCTTTTCTAGAGAACAAGTCTAATCGTAAGGGCAGTAAGTAATGTGTTTTGAATCATACTTTCATTAGCTTCAGAAACTGTGTATTTTATAATGCTTTTTGTTCCTAGTGGAATATGGTTTGCAAAGACAGCCACTATAGCAGTCTTGTTCTGAGTCTAGTTTTCATTGGTGACTTGGTGGGAACGCCTATCTACGGATTTTTATCTGACAGGTATGCCAACTTATATTTTGGTGAACCATTTTCAGTTGTTACACTTTGATTTCATTTTTTACTTAAACTAACTCACGAAAATGCATTCTGTGCTCAAACGTTAAGTATTTCCAAATTTTAATGAAAATTTAAATCATTTAAAAAAATTATGTGAATACTGCTACCAAAACTTCTCTTTTACTTCTTTTTATTCAACATTTTTTTTCTGTTCTTTTGATTGCTTATTCGTCTCAGTTAAATCTGAAAATTAATTTTAGACCCGCTTCTAACGAATCATGAAAATTTTTGCAAATGCGTTTCTAGGGTAGTAATAAAATATCTCATTGGAATTTTTGTTTTCAAAATTAACTACAATATTTTCTTTTTAAGAGTATATTTTTTTTCCTTTTTCTATGTTTTTTTATGTTATTAATGATCTCAGAATTTGGACATCATCAGAAAAATAAAAAATAAAAAATATTTTAATAAATGAAGTTCTTTCAAAATTACACTAGCAACAATTTATCGAAATTTCGTAATTTTTCAAAACATTTTTATTTTTATAGCTATTTTTTCAGAACTTAAATTGGCCCTAGCCCGGCTCCGGCACTTCTTAGATTTTGGGATAAATCCTAATGGTAGCCGGAGCGCACCGGAGCCCTAAATAAGAAGACTCCGGCTCTTTCCTTATGTAACTGAAGAAGAAATTGAGCAAAAATTTTATGTCTAAAATTTTATTTTCAATAATAAATTTATATTAAAAACCCATTTGAACTTCTGAATGCGTGCCTCTCTTTCCTTGGGAAACAAAAACCTTGGACAGAGTTCGAGACTTTTAAAGAAAGAAAAGCCTCTACCTACATGTTAGTTACTCCCCAGAAAGTACAATAAATTTCGGAACGAAAAATTTCCAGCGTATTCGTCCTTCCACGGAAAAGAGCGCCTGCAGACGTTTCAACGATGGAACACTGGAGGATGACATTAGTCACTTGTTACTTTTTTCTCAATTAACCCTCAGATTAGGGAAAATTTATTGCCCTGTTACATTTTGCTTCTGAACTAGAATTAATTTGACAGTAGATCGTGGTTAGAAAATGTTGGATTCTTATCTTTTTGTTTTTATACCTGGACATCATCCCTTAAAATATCCTCTATATTCTGCTACTGTTTATAGAACTCTTGTCTAATATCATTAGTGATGCGTTCATTGGTGTGCTAGAAAAAGAATAGTTTTTATTTCTGTCATCCGTTGACGTACTATATTTTAATCAGAGATTAAATTCAACCGAAGACCAGTTATGTTACATCTTAGTTTTTGAGTGAAATTTATATTCCATACGGAACCAAAAATAAGGTTCATTGTTTTGTTTTATTATTTAACTATTTACTATTTATTTAATCTTTTCTTTTCTGTTTCTTTTATATTTTATTAAATTTTAACTTTAATTATATTTAAATGTTCTATTTATTAATTATTAGTCCAAAAGGGCTTTGTCCCTGAAGGACTATGAGATGCATTCCGATGACCTCATTGATCACGTGATACCTTTTGTAAACAAGCAGTGCAGATGACCTCAGAGATCACGTGACTTATGTACAGGTAATGCAAACAAGCAGGGTCATTCTTTCTCTTTTTCTCTTGCGGAATGTATCTCGTTGTTTGCATTTTGCGATTTTGCGTTGAATCACTATAAACGGCGAATCACTTTTCAAACTGTTACCATCAAATGTTAGTCTTGCATTATATTTGAAGAAATTAAATATAAATGAAAAATCTTCATAAATGCATAAATGTATGTATATTTCTCGCATTGTGATAAAGCAACGGTACATAGAGCCCTCGAATTTTGAATGACGTAATCCTCCTATGAATATGGGCATGTGGAAGACCAAATTTGAAATTTGGAATTTGCTTCATAATCGATTTCATATTTTGTAAAACTTTAACGAATTTTTGAGTAACAAACTCAACGATTTAAAAGCGAGCAATGGCAACCCTCTACGGGGGAAAAAATTTTTTTATCTCCAGCGCGCGGAACTGTGTATCGAAAATTCTAAAGATATCTCATTTTTTATTATTTTGCGACATTACTATTGAATTGAATTTTATGCTTTAAGTGCAAAGAACATGATATAGTATAAATAAAGGTAACACACGAAACGTTAAAAAAACGCCCCTTTGGATGTAAATTAAAATCTGAAACCTTTCAGATTTTTTAAATTTTTTTCTTTCTTCCTTATTTTTTAATTATTAATTATTTTATTAGTCATTAATTTATCTATTTTTCTTATTCCTTTGGTTCTTGTTTTACTTTCGCCTTCCTTAGCCCTCGGGCACTTCTAATTTTAAAAGTTAAGCTCTGCATTATATGGTTTCTATTAATAATGGTTTTTTATGTCAAAGATGTAATGCGTCATGTTGAAAGCTTCACAAATTCAAAGGATGACAAGACTGGAGCTCAAAACCAACTGAAAATGTAAATGAATTGAATGTAAATTTACGCCATTGGGTAAATTGAAACTCGTCGAGGGGAGGGGAGATGACGTAGGGAATACTTGATAGCACGTTGATTAGAAGAAATAATTTTCTTACGGTGAAAATCAATCTATTTTCTTTCTTTATTTTTTTAATTATTTATTTTCATGCAGGATAAAAAGTATAAAATGAAATTTACAAAACTTTTAATTTATGCAGTTCTAAATTACATAGTTTTATTAATTATTTTTAAATTTTTAAAGCTAAGTGCCATAAAAATAATGCTATAGCTACTATAAACTATCAGTTACATATGACTATAAATAAAATTACGGATTGAATTTATAGCAAGACATTAACTGAATTTCAAGGAACGCTAGAAATGGCATGCAGAAGAAGCATGCACTAATTTACATTTCTTTTCAACTGACTTAAATTTCTATTCAAACCACACTGTTGTTAGCACCTATACAATTTTATTTTTAGCTACATTTTATCAAATATATTTTACAAGCTATTAAAAAAAATTCTTACTATTTTATTTTTTAGTGAATTTAACTAAAACCGTGTAACTTGGAAAGGTTTTTAATGTAATTTATTTAAATTTAAAAAATAAATAAATAAAATTCAGTCTTTAATTCTATTGACTTAGTTTTTACATTCAAAACTGGTTTCAGGTCATATAAATATTCAGGCTACCCGAAACAGATATTAGATATCGAGGTTTCAGTGTTAGTCAGATTGCAGTCACTACTCCTAATAGTGACTATTAGGTACTTTCATTCTTCGATAGAAAGTGATGTAGCGCATCACTTTCTATTGAAGGATATGTGAATTAAGTATTTACTTCGGCTGAATTACATTGTCACCCTACAATACATTTACTTGTACACCTCACTCTTTCACACCAATTTGTTAAATTCGTAGAAGTTATTAAAATCTTTACGAACTCTTGACCACCATATACGTAAGGTAAACTTTCTTAATTGTTATAATTTACGGAATGTGTTTTCTGTTTCAGATGCGGTAGGAAGCCTACGTTTTTCTTCTTGGCCTTCTTGATTGCTGTCACAGAGATCGGGTCGGTACTAAGCCCATATTTTTGGTTATTTTTAGTACTGCGAGCAATCAACGGTAGTGCCATGACCACCATATACGCAGCTGTTTATATCATAAGTAAGTATCCTCACTAACTAATATTTTGAAAAAAATAATGTTTTGTGTTTGTGAAGTTACAAAATTGTTTAGAAAATGACTTTCCTTATAAATATTTACTATCATATATAAGTAGTAAATTTAACAATATTTTTAATAACATTCAAATAGCAAAGAGATGTAACTGTTTATGCATGATACCTTATATAAAACACATTTTATACTTTAGCGTTAAGTCTATTTGAGAGAAAAATATTAAAAACGTGCATAAAAATACATGGAAAGGAAATTTAAAATAAATATTGTTACTTTTTTTACTGACACCAATTGTTACGTTATTTTCTTCCTTCACGTTCGTATGGGTTTGTGAGGATTTGGAGTGAATAACGACGACAGCACTTGATGGAATATCGAAACACACTCTGTTTAGCCAATATTAATCAGGACAGCTCCAAAACACTTTTACAGTCTTCGAAGATCTACTAAAAATACGCTGGAACAATCAGCGACACAGCGTTCACACTATCAGGCAATAACGGTAGAGACAGCTTCACTGCAAAGCACCAGAGTACAACTCCCGACTCTGCTCGGTCGTTCTCGGAACTCGACGTACTCTCGAAACTCTCCACGCTACAACTCGCGATGCACTCGACGACACACAGAGCACAACTCCCGACTCTTCGGTTCAGTCGTTCCCGGAGCTTAACACACACTCTCGACGATGCACTAACGCGATCACTAAGGCCCATATCACACGGCGTTGTTTCATACGAACAACTGTTTCGGACAATTTTCTGCCTGGTTTACTTGAAAGAAGAGTGCGACTTTTTCCTTCCTTTCGAAAAAAGTTGCAAGTTGTTCGTTTTCAACCAATCAGCTATCAGCGCCGAATTGCTGTTAGCTTGTTGTATGACAACCAGTTTTCCCTGTGTTAACCCCAAAGCGAGCTATGGTGATTGGCTGTTGTGACAAAGCAGAAAAATTGTTCCAAACAGTTGTTCTTTCGAAACAAACCGACGTGTGATAGCAGCCTTAGAGACTCTTCGATGCTCTCGACGACCCACTCGGCACTCGCTACCCATCAAGTCGATCGACTCCTCACGAACTGACTATCTCGCCCTCTACGAGGCACACTAACTAACTGCGGACCAGCAGGGTTTATATAGCTTTTGGCTTGTGTTCGCGAACATTCTGTGGGAAACCGGTAAGAATTCGTTCCAGAAGGTTCTCCATCCGGCCATGGTATATCGCCAATTTGTCGCCAAATATCGCCAAATAGGCGATTTTTCGCCAAATGTGGCAATTTTGCCTTCTCTTGCCATTTATGGCAACCCTAAACTGCTTTGCGGGAAAGCTATCTTACGGCGCCTGTACATTTCGTAACAATATACACGCAGACTGCTAGAGTATATAACAGACTTGATTGGTCACGATCATTAAACACAAGCCTCTATCCTTCTCGCACTACATGGTCCACCAGCGGCCGAGCGGTAAGCATATCTCACAAGTGCACATCAGCGTAGCCACTGAGGGAGGAGTTTCGAAAATGGACCATGAGCTTCTATTGCTCTTGTGAGCGTATGTTGTTTAAGTTTTAATTTTCGTTTGCTTCGCAGTTATAAATGTATTGCGTAACATTAGAAAATCTCGCTGTGCTTTCGTTTTATGAGTTTAATTAGTCGCTGACATTTCACTTTCGCGATTTTTGTCACTCATTGATATTTGGATTGATGTTCACTGCATATTATCGTTCTTTACATCAAGAAAATTACTCAGGTTACAATTAGCCTCGAATATAATGCATTTACTAACAAATGTAGATTAAGAGAATTCATGTGTATGTTATTTTGAGCTGAAACAGACTGCAAGTGTTACAATGAATCTATTGTTTTCTTATTTCAGTGCTTGCATTGTTTTGATTTTGAAAGTGCAAGACTCAGAATACATATTGTGTATGATCTGATTATATCCATGTTAACTTAAAAGTGATATGTGAATAAATAAATTGAATTATATTCGTTGTGATAGATAAATTCATTCTGTTTCATAGTTCTTGTGGTAGACAGTAGTGAGCAGTTATTAAATGTGAAATTTAACACACTAAATGCAAATTAGTGAAGTTCACTTTGAATAAAATTCTGCATTGGCTATTATTATAGAACATCTTTTTCATATAGACTGCAATAACAAGTGCTGACTTCTATTTACATATATAACTGGTGTAAATATTTTTCTCATATGCATAGCATTATGTAAAGATAGCATTTGGGCTCAGATGTTTATCACATATTTCTTTCATCTTATTTATCACTTATTAAGTAATATTTCGCATGAATATTTTTGCGGAGTATCCAACATGTGTTTGTATTTATTTCAAATTATTTCAACCAGGTATTGAAATCTTCACAATTGCTTATATTTGATCTAACTTCACTACGAAAGTTTTCAGAAGAAATAGACGATTACAGAAATTTGTACAGAAAATTGCGTGGCAAAATATTTTCAACCATCTTATTTAAATCTTAAAGCGTGCGAAAGGTCATGTGACATGACAGAAAAATGACTGGATGCTCATTGGTCCATCCTAGAAGCCTCGCCCTCGGTGGCTACACAGATGTGCACTTGTGAAATATGCGAGCGGTAATGTTGCTGAACACTGGTAGTTCGGTCCGAGGCTCGAATCCTGCTAACGGGATGGCTGCATGGGCGTTTTCGTGGTTTTCCCTATATGCAATGTGTATACGAGCCAGTTTCCCTTAGAAAGTTCTCCACGAAGGCATCCCTTCCTTTAGGCAGATAAACCCTCGAGGTTTTGTCGTTGTCACGTAAACCAAAACCGAAATCTTCTCGCACTACGATTGTTCAGTGATTTGAGTTTGACCCGGATTCGATCCCTGGCGAATAGACTTGCCGGCATGACTGGTTTTTGTAGTTGTCTCTGGTGTGAGCATTCGTGGAGATTTGCCATATATTCAGGTAGCCTAACCTCACTTTCCCACGTTGCATCTTTTTATATTTTTCAACGTTCATGTTCACACTTTCTTCATTGCTTGTATTTAGTTTAATAGGTTAATTATTGCAAGCTTTTTCTTTAAAGTAAACTATGCAAGGAAAAATCTGACTGATGGTAGATATTCATTAGTAAAACTTATAATGTAACCGCCAGAGAAAATTTATGTACGAAAGTACTGATTATGTTCGTATTGTCCTGTTGCCCATATGTGTTCTGATCAATGGTAGAAGTAATGTACAAAAAACTGCCTTAAAATACAATATTCTAATGTAAAATTCTAACATAAAATCCTAAAAATAGTCTATTATTAGAAAAAATCTTTTCTGCTGTGGCACCAGGAACTGAAGAAATCAATTATAAGTATGCTTACTATATTAAATAATACCAAAATTCTCGAAGTGCTAGTTACGCTTTCAGGTAGATTAAAAATTACTCAAATGTTGAGAGAGGAATTTATTACTTTTAATATAAAAATGTAGTACCGCAGATTTCATTGAGACTTTAAATGGTAATGAAGCGTTCAAATCCAAGTATCATCATTCTTATATTTAGTTAGCACATATTGTTTAATTATATATGTATAAAAAAATTTTTAGTATAATGCAAACCTAAGAAGATATAATTTAAAGCGGTTAATGTATTAATAACAGCTCATATTATTTTATCACTATTTTGCATAGTTTTAGAAGTAATTTTTCTTTTTCAAACAAGATGGCTTTGAGCATATTTTATTTTCATACAGTTTTGAAGATTTCTTCGTTCTGCAGATTGATCATCCTAATATTGCCTTTATATTTTGATGTTTATGCGTTTCAAAAATAGATGCATGAAAGCTATAAAAGTGATTCTTCTGCATAACCCTCAAAATGAATAAGTAGAACAGACTGCAAAATTGCAGCTGCTTTTATTCTTAATGAAACTAAATCCCTTATATTAGCATCAGTTTTTTCGTCATCAGTTTCGCTTACAAATTGCTGCACTGTAGATAAGAAATAGGCTGGGGTATAAGTGTTTTCCAAGTATAGTGCTTTAAAACAGTTGATCAAAAATTCAGCTGATAATAACCATTTTTTAGGTAAAAAAAGGTTTAAAAGGTAGTAACAGCATTTCTCTTCTGCATTCTTATCAATCTGTTCACTATTTAATCAGATTATGCCCGCTGCCCTGGATATTTCTTCGTGAAAATTTAATCTTTACTTCGCTATGATTAGTGCCATATGCAAATGAACCTGTTAATCTGTAAAATCTTTCCTTTCCGCTTTAGTGTCGTATTTATGTGCTATAAAATAAAATTAAAAAAAAAAAAACCATGAAATTAAAAATACAAAAAAAAGTTAAAAATCATAAAACTCCAAAAAATCAAACTTATTTTCCTACCCCAACTTCTCGAGCAATGTCCCCTCTAATGTGAATCGTGATAACCAATTAGGCAATTTTCCATTCTGCTCACTACTTAGTATTTTTCTGAGTGAGTACTGGTTTCAACATAGGCATCCGTAAATTATAATATTGGATTGGCATCTAGATTTCAAATCTTTCGCCCACCAGCGGCCGAGCGGTAAAGTCGCTGAACACTGGTAGTTCGGTCCGAGGTTCGAATCCCGCGAACGGGCTGGCTGCATGGGTGTTTTCGTGGTTTTCCCCATGTGTAACGTGTATACGAGCCAGTTTCCCTTAGAAAGTCCTCCACGAAGGCATCCCTCCCCTTAGGCAGATAGCCCTAGTGTGCTTTGCCATAATTAAATACACCACACCACACCACCAAATGCTTTCATTACCTCATTCTGAAAGGCCCAAAAATGGCCGAGGGGTAAATTCGCTGAACACTGGTAATTCGGTTCGGGGCTCGAATCCCGGCGAACGGGCTTGCTGCATGGATGTTTTTACAGTTTTCCGCATGTGTAACGTATATACGAGGGAGTTTCCCTTCGAAAGTCTTCCATGAAGGGTACTTAATCTTAGGCAGATAGCCCTCGAGTGCTTTGCCATGCCTAAATAAACCAAACCCAACCTCATTCTGAAGCTTTCGCGTTATGCTTTTCTTCCGAGGAATTGCGACACATTGTTCCACAACGAGGTGTGGAAGGAGGTACAAGTAAATGTTCAATTTTAAAGATGAAAAATAATGTCTGGCATATGTCACCAACAACTTTCTCTGCAGCTGCACACAGTCTCAATGAAATTCTTAATCACTTTTGACATATCTGCTTGTCGAGGTATTTAACAGCTCTTTTCATTTTCGTTTTTAAGTTATTTTCTTGCTTCTTTTTAAGTTCGGATTTTTGTGACGTGCAGTAACAATGCCAAGCATAAAAGTGGTGTTTTCAACAGAGCGGCTGGATCGAGGGGTAGTGATTGAATGTCTGCTATCGAACCAGCATCCTCGAATTCCTTTATCAATTTGAGAATTGTTGTTTCACTGGGTGCACTTTCACGTCCAAAGATTGCAGTCACGTTCTTAGCAGTTTGTACATATCACGCGCCCTTGTAATGAATGATCAAAATCAAACTCGTTGTACTTCTGTGCAGCCCTGTATGTCGACTAAGCTGCAACGAAACTGCAAAATCGACTGATATTGCTAAAATACGAGCACAGTCAGGTAAAATCAAATTCTACATACTTAAATCGGACCATATGTATGCAAGAATATTTTCATTATCTAAAAACAAAGCACTTTTTTGTGGGTAGGCACGTTAAATGTAGTGCTTTTGGTAGGACACCCTATACCTGCATTGGCATAAAGATCAGAACTTTTAATAGAAATGTCTTATTGCTAAATCAAATGACGTAGTCTAATATCTGCTGTTCATGTAGTTTGTGATGTTTGAATTTTTCTTAGAGGAAAACAAAAAGTACGTTATTTTTCAACCTTTTCACTCATCGCGTCGCTGTTTAGTAGGTTTATCGCGGACGCAAGCGAAAGCACTTAGTCATGGAAGAATATGGTGATATGCACTTCACTGTGAATGCTCAGGTCATGTGACGTTATTTCTTAGTATAACTACTGAAAATATTGAACTGCTTCCCAAGAGGCTTTCGTATCTCATTTCATGGTTTAATGCCGTATCATTATTTGACAACGAAGCTCTGTTTATGACAACTGAAGTACGTAAGCCATGTGTGAATGTAGATTAGAGGATCAGCTGACAAATTTAATTTTTTTCATTAATTTATTTTCCTAGTTCTGGAGCTCGTAGATCCTCGTATACGGGCTCGGATAAACGGAATCTCCATCACGTCGTGGACAGTGGGTCTTTGCATGCTGCCTTTAGTTGCATGGCTAACGAGGAACTGGGTTTACTTAAGCATAGTCACATCCTCTACAGCGGCATCACTTCTTCTGCTCTGGAAGTAAGAAATAGTTATATATTATAAGTTTATTTTTGTATAAATGCATTGAGACTGTAAGAGATAATTCTGGACGGGAGATTAAAATCAAGTAAAGAAGTTAATCTGCTAATGTAATCTGCACTATATGAATTTCAAAAATCCGGGTCTTTTACACTTTTATCTCAATAAAAATTTGTCTTCTCTTCTCCCCTGAAAAATCATTTCTCTGTCTTTCATTTCATTTCTCTATTTTCAAGCTTTCGTTCTTTTATCATTTTTCTTGTTATTGTGCATATTATCGAGAAATAAAAGGCAATGGAAAAAGTAAACCAAATGGTGTAAATTAATGCAACATTACTAAATCAGTTATTAAAGCATATTCTTGAATCCATTGAGAAATAATTAGACCGACCAATCACTGAGCGGTAAAGCCATTGGTAATTCGACTGAGGCACGAATCCCCGCGAGCGGATTAACTAAATGGGCTTTTTCTTGATTTTCTGTATGTGTAACTTGGTTGCAAGGCAGTTCGCCTTAGAAAATCCTCCACGAAGGTATCCCCTTCTCTTAGGCAGATAGCCATCACGTGCTTTGCTGTAAACCAAATCAAAATTTTTTTTTGATTACTTCTATGTGATACTTCTAATGGATGAGTCTACGTATTTTCGCAGAGTGCTAAGAGTGATCTCTCTTCCCAGACTTGAATAGTACCGATTTTGTTTTTCTTTTTTATCCAATGGAGAGCTCTTAGCCGATTTCAGCTGCCAGACGTGATGGTCACTTTATTATGGAGGCACCTAACAAATGGGCATAAAGGGACCTCCTGTGAAGGGACGTTACTCCTACTACTACTACTATGAAAAGGACCGACAGTTACAACCATGCCTTCTCCTGGATTCGAACCCGGGTTGTATCGCATTTGACTCCCGCAGCCACCATACCGTTTGGGCGGCGTACTGGAAAATAATAAACTCTGCAATCTTACTTACAAATGAATATACTTGTAGAGTACATACTTACAAACTGAAATGCCTCAAAGGCAGCATTTTAAATTTGAAAGAAAGTGCATAAATATAACTCACAGGTTCATGCTCTTTTCTGACTCCTAATGAAGAAAATTCTTGTGTGTTAAGAGAACTTGCATATCAAGGTTCAGTTTTCAGCTCCCCAAAAATGAAGATTTTTACTCCTCTTGCCCTGAGTATAGATAAATTTACACACTAAATATATTTCTGGATAATACAGCTTGTCGAAATCTTAATAATTTAAAGATTTCTTAATGTAAATCAGCGGTTTTACTTTGTGGCTCGTTTATCCCTGGAAGTACGCGAAGGCTTAGTCAGGGGTATGCAAAAATTTATCAGTAATAGCGAAAGATAACAAAATATTATTATTAATGCTATATTCAAGTTAAAAAATGTTGTTGAATGAAGGGAATGCAACTGGCAAGGTTCCCAGTGTGACCATTACTGACCGAAATATGTAGAAACACAAAGGAATTAGTTGTAATTAGTCCCTCTCATGCTTGTCATATTACTCGACTCCTTAGTATGTAGCCACGCTTTTTCCTCGCTCTGTCGTGACGTACCACATAAAATTATGTTCATTTAAAGCGCGGTTACAGCCGAAAACATCGCGGAGAGAACAACGCAAGGCGAAAACGTCGTGGTACAAAAAATCGTGGGAGAAAATAAAGCAAAGAGAAAACATTGCAGTTCTAAAAAAACATCGTGGTACAAAATATCGTCGTCGAAAATAAAGTGGTTCAAAAACTTCGCAGTTTAAAATTTCCGTCGTCGAAAATATGGTGGTAAAAAATAAAGTATCTAGAAACCATCGCATGACGATAACATCGCAGACATGGGTTTTTCAGGCTTTAATAATTTTAAATACATATTCGCATAATGATTTGTGAGCGCAAAGCAATTTTTTGAAAAACAAGAAATTTAAACAAAACAAGAAATAATTTTCATTGTCAGAATATCAGATTAACAAAAGTGAAGAAAATAATCTTAACGTAGCAATTTTTTTTTATAGATTAGGTCATGCTGTTACTTATCGCTCTTTTCCTATTCTTTCTTAGGTTATACTTTTCATGAAAAATTATCAGTAAAACTTTATAAAAAATAATTTATTAATGACCTTTGTTAGTTAATGATGTCAGTTTAAAATAATGTTAAGCGCTATAAGTTGCATTCATTTTCTATGCTTAAGTTTCCATTTTACATTTTCAGCAAATATTTATTAGTTAATAAAAAATTATCCTTCTTCCGCTCACAAATCATTATGCGAATTTTTTACAATTTTTAAACAATTATTAAATTTTACAATTATTAAAACCTGAAAAATGCACGCCTGCGATGTTATCGTCATGCGATGATTTGTAGACACTTTATTTTTACCACGATATTTTCGATGACGATGTTATTAAACTGCGAAGTTTTTGATCCGCTTTATTTTCGACGACGATGTTTTGTACCACGATGTTTTAGAACTGTGATGTTTTCTGTTTGCTTCATTTTCTCCCACGATGTTTTTTACCTCGATGTTTTCCCCTTGCGTTGTTTTCTCCGCGACGTTTTCGCAAGCGATGTTTTTGCCTCAATGTTTTCGGCGGACACCCAAAGCGCAGTTGAACTGAGAATATAGCAGCCACCCAAATAGCATTCAGTATTAAGGATATCATCAAATCAGTTATGCAGTTCTGTATCTTTACCCAGCGACACGCAAATCAGTTTGAATGCGAATTTTGTTTTAAACTAATCTGTGTTCTTTGGAAGTTGTTAAATCCAAAGTGATAATCATATGAAAATGGATAAGCAATTAAAGTCAATCTCCTTCGACAACATTTCTTTAAAGCAGCCTCAACATTAGTTTATTGGTTACATTTTTCAGGCATTATTCGTTATAAAGTTTATTAATTTATAGAATTCAGATAATACAATAGTCAGATACATTGCATGAATACTGGAAATCGTCGTTAGAATGACAGTTTCTGAAAGGAGATATTAGGAGCACTCGATAATTATAAAGACTTATTAAGGGGTACTCCAGAGGGCAAGTTTAGGAATCCCTGAGGTAAATTATTCAAGTCTGGGACTCAAGCTTTAACGAGGAGTGACATAATTAAAATGCGATGAAAATCCATGAAATATTGTGCTAGAGGTGGGAAGAGCCATAAATTTCCTCGAATCTATTGGATCCTTCATATAAGAAAAGAGAGGAACACATATTCATATTAAATGTTTTTAATTAAAACAAAATTTGAAATATTGAAAACACAAATTTAAGAAAATAATTTTCAAAAATACACCAATATTTATTACGAAGATACAAATAAAACACATAATTTAAATTCTGAGATAAAGTTTTAAACATGATTTGAAATATATACTTATTTGTAGCTTTTCAACTCCTTTTTAACTAAATCAACTAAAGCACGTGTAGAGGGAGAAGGATTATTTCAAGAATCCAAGGAGAAGAAACAACAAGATTTTCATGAAGCAAAACACAATAAACGGGCATGATGTGGGAAAAAAAACCAATAAGGGACCGGACCTTTTTCCTCTAGCTATTGTTCCCATGTGATTACAAGTCAAATCAAGCGGGAGGTAACCTAGAAATGTATGTTTTAAAGGAACAGACTATAACATTGGCCATTTATCCATTAGGGTAGTTTCCAACTGTCTGAATCTGTTGGAGGAGGTAAACGGGTAGAGATAGCACGCTCGAGGGCATCTCAAAGACTTTCAATAGGATTAAAGTCTGGGGAATATGGCGGCCACGCCACACGAGAAATGCTCTCACTCTCCAGGTACTTGTTAATGATGCTTGCTCGATAGGGCCAGGCATTATTGTCCATAAGGAGGAAATCAAGGCAAACTGCTACAGCGTATAGTCACAAAACTGGTTGTAGAGATTCGTACTGATAAGGGACAACCATCATAGATAATGTTTAAAGATGTACAACTGGATGCGACATCCCATCCAATTTGCTGCCCACACTATTATGCTACCACCTCTGAATGCCTGATCCCGTGTTCTGTGCAGACACTTATCATCTGATTCCAAGAAAATCTGGAATGGACCGTAAACAGGACGTTGGGCAAATTTTGCATCGTCCAATTGAAATGTTGAAGACACCACTTATCTTGCCTCTCTAGACTGGGTAATTAGAAGAGCACAAATATTTGGTATTCTAGAGTACAGTCCCTTTACGTGAAGCCCTAGAGTACAGTCCCTTTAAAACTTGTAAAGCCCTCGCTACACAAGAGCTGACAGATATTGTCTTATCAAGTGACGCTGCAGCCGTGAATGTAACAATTTGTGGAGGTCACTCGTCAATTTCGCTTAGCTATTATAGCGATATACCATTCTTCAGAAGAGGTAGTGACCCTTTAATCGACACAGGTCTCTAGACAACTGTTGACTTGTTTGGAATTCTTTTCACCTTCAAGAAATTACCTAAAAATCAAGGGGAGGGGAAGCTACATCTTTAATTGATCATCCTGCTCCAATGCGTCTGACAGCATGCCAGTAGTTACCATTAGGGTATTTTCCAGCTGTCACAGACTGTTGAAAAACGTGCAGACACGACACCTTCGAGGGCATCGTAAACAACAACAGCAGTAAGTCTCTTGACCACATTACGGGTTCACTCCCTCTTTAGGATAAGTCACAGAGGTTCAACCTCCGCTATTGCCTCTCCAGGAGAGCGGCGCACCACCTGGTATTCCCCAGGCAGCACTGGTCGTTTGATTTGCTACCTGCCAGTCCCTCGGGCTGCCCATCGCAGCGAACCGGGGGCGCTACGCCCCGGGTACTAGAGCCGTACCGCTCAGGACTTGCCAGACCTCGGGCTGGCCAGCAAGTGACCTTTCCCAGGGCCTTTAGAACCACCAAGTTCATAAATTTTATACCCCCGTGGCCGAGACTGCCTAGGTACAGATCCTGGCCAGTAGCTTCACAGAATTCTCTACGTCGACCCCTGGGGAGGGGAGAGGGCATCGTTAAGATTTTCAATGGGATTAATGTCGAAGAATACGACCATTTGCTTTCTTTCAGCCATAGAAACACGAATATCATCAAAAATTATCCTGCAGAAATTATAAATACTCCTCATCAGCATTTAAATGAACCTCTTCAAATCCTTCAGACTGCTGGCATCTTCAGAGTCTGCTTAATTAGTATACGTTTAGACACTTAATCGTGATTGGCTGTAATATACGGTATTTGTGTATCGCCATCTGCATCCGCGTCAGTTTTCAGCCACTCATTCATCTACGCTTTCGGAAAGTGTAATTTGCATTACGTGCTTTACGAATGGGAGCCACTGTACATTATTATATTAATCTTATAATCTTAAGCATTTGTTCCAAAGATAACACAACATTTTTAAATTGCATTAAAAATTATTAAATTCTGTTTTAGACTGTATATTATTTTGATGTTAAATCATGTTGCTAATAATCATGCTGCTAAAAATCATGTTGCTAAAAAAAATAAATATCTGGCCAAAGTTATGTATTTTTAAAACCAAATGCTTAAAGGAAGAATTACAAATTTAATTTTAAATGCTTAATATTTAGGATATTTTCTGTATTCGTAATGGTGTACGTTATATACTTATGTGATATATACTTTAAGATTTTAAATGTCTGAAATAGAATTCAGCGTGCCAGATTAACATAAAAATCTTAGTTAAGATTTTCTATTTCTGAAATAGAATTAAATGTGCCAGATTAACATAAGAAAGATTTTAGATATTCAGTTTCTAAAATAGAATTTAGGGTGCTAAATTAACATAAGAAAGATCTTAGTTAAGATTTTTCAGTTTCTGAAATAGAATTTGGGGTACCAGATTAACATAGGAAAGATCTTGGTATTTCTTTCTTTACAAAACTTTAGAAATGTTATTCCTTTAGGATAATTAGGTGTGAACTAAAATTTCCTTCACTCCAGATTAATACCTGAATCTCCCAGTTGGTTAATATCCCAAGAAAAATATGCAGAAGCAACAGAAGCTATGAAGAAAATAAGCAAAATAAATGGAAAACAAGCACACGAAGGAACCGAACTATACCAGAAAATCCAGGTTCGTTAAATATTACGAATTATTGCAAAATATGAAATGCCAAATATGTAAAACTAGCTTCAGTTTTAAATACTCAAAATTTTAACTTATAATTTTATTACTTTGTATTGCTTGTTATAGTTATATATTTGTTGTTTTATAAGATTACTTCTATAAGATGTTTCAAACCGATAATAAATATCTTTTGAATGACTTATCGTAAACTTATGGTTCCATTTTAAAAAATGAAACAAATAAAGCAGACTTTTGGATATTATAATCTTTTGAGCATCTGAGATATTTTAATAAAAATATATAAAACTTAAATTTTTTAACACGTATAGCCGAAAATAATATTGAAAAGAAATCAGAGCATAATTAGCAAGAAAAAATAAACTGTGAGATTTTCTTTAATTTAAATAACCAGTTGTTTTATCTTTCGAATCTTTACTGTTATTTATCTCGTTTCGTTTTCACACTTGAATTCAAATGTGTGCATTTAAGTTAGGTTTTGAGACTGTTAAATTCACACTAGTGAAATCGAGCCAACTTTAAATTTCTCTGGGAGTCTTTGTTTATTAGTTATTTAAATTTAGCTCTATATTTGAATTTCTGCTTTGCGTTTCTCACCATAAATGCTGACAGACTTGTAAGTACCATGTTTGCCTTCTGTTCATCTTATTAAGTTTTAAATAAAGGGTCTTCTACACACTTCTCAGGTTCTTGTTGTACTTCAGACATAAAGATAAGTCGCCAAAAAGTTTGTCATGAAATACTTAAAACCTTACAACACTCTTGCCATGTGATCAAAATTACTCTAGCTACCACTAATTAAAGTTTTGAATGTGTACTTAGCAAATACACTCTTTTGCAAAAAAATCGAAGCACCAAGAACGGCTTTTGCGATCGTGATGGAATTTAGTATGCAAAAACATTTTGATCGAACATGCAAATGGTCGGATTCGAGTTCGAATTCGATCCATATTCGAGTGGAAGACTACTTATCAATGACTGTACGTGACGAGTGGAGGACTATGTCATGCAGATTCTTTATTATTTTAATTTCATTAACTATAATACAGGACGAAAATATTTGGTGGCAACAATCTGAAAAGTGATTCCACGCTTTTAGTAATTCGATGCAAAATGGCGTTTCGAGTGTAGTAGCACTTTGGGACTGACTTACTTTTGGGCTAAAAAACATTATTGCTGGTGTTACTGCAATAGATATATAAAAACTATTCTTAATATGTTTTAATGTTTTATTTATCTAGGAACTTGGGGAGAAAATCAAAAAGCAAAAAATTGGAGAGGACCAGCATTCGCCACTGGACTTCTTTAGATATCCGACTCTTCGGAAACGATTTCTCCTAGTTACCATGTGCTGGTAAGTTCTTGTGCAAACTATTTAACTCCAGAAATCCACTTGAATCCAATATATACAATTATGTTCCCGTATCCATTGATTCAGTATTCATAGTTTTAATAATTTGTATGAAAAGAAGATTTTGAATATTAAAGCAATTCATTACGCCAAGGAAGAAAATCAGAAATAGCAAGCCTATTTTCCTATGAAAGTCTTGACCTGTAACATGAATATGCTGGCAAGATTCGAACTGACTAGAAATCATTGAATTCCATGGGTGTTGAAGTAGATTCAAGATTAAAAAACTCCAATCTTCGCACCTTTTTCTTTATTCGGATCCTTTTAATCCTAACCTTAAGATCCATTAAATATTTTAACCCCAAATCTGATCTTTTTAACCCTAACCAATAAATATTTTAACCCCAAATCTGATATTTTTAACCGTAAACACCAAATATTCTAACTCAAAATTTTGGATAGATTAACTTTAGGGGATTAAGGTTTTATTGAGGTCTTCATTTTAATTCTTCTATTTCCCTTTTCTGTTTCAAAAGTACGAATTGTTTTTTTACTAATTTTCCTGTACCGATTAAGCCAGTTCAAAATTAAGCCTTTTCATACTTTCTTACGGGGCCCCACCAGCGGCAGAGCGGTAATGTCGCTGAACACTGGTTCGGTCCGGTTCGATCCGCGAACGGGCTGGCTGCTGGTGTTTTCGTGGTTTCCCCATGGTACGGTATACGAGCCAGTTTCCCTTAGAAAGTCCCTCAGTGTGCTTTGCCATAATTAAATACACCACACACCATACTTTCTTACGTAATCCTGCAATACGGATAGCTCTTATCTAATCACAGATCAAGACACTTTTCAACTATCTCATTTTTCTAAATGCGTAATTACTTCTTTCCCCTTTTTTTACTTCGCCTTGTTTTTGATAAGACGCGTCATGTTTCGGCGGTTATGTTTCGGCTAACCTAAAGATGTACTGAGCTATACAAAATTATGAGGTGTGTATTGCACCCATAATGATGTGTGAATGAGAATGTGAATCCACAATTAAGTATCGCGATTCCTAAAATCCATTACAACTCTTACCCAATCCTCAATCTATTTATAAATTTTATACACACACATATACGAGTATAATGCAGTAACACAATTTTTTTAAAACAAAAATATTCCAATATTATTTCTGCGCAATACGCTGCTGAAATATTAATCAATTATACATAAAATAGTATGAAATTTAGAACCAAAAGCACAAAGACATGAAAGAAATTAAATTTAAAATTAGTGAAATCCCTTAATCTTCCAATAAAAATATTAAAAAAAACATCAAATCAGTGTTTTTAAACCAGAAGAAATCTGGAAAACCACAGAAATACATAAAATAGGAAAGGGAATGCTATTTAAACCTGATTAAACGTTATCAACGTTATCAGATTCAAATGAACACCTCCCTTGTAGGAAAACTACCATGTTTCTATTCATCCAAAATTAGCTGATAAACCATTTTAAATTATTTAATTATAATAATTCTTCTGAAAAACTCCGAATGCCTCCTCTACACAGTCGCTTTCCTTTCAAAAGAAATTAAAATACACAAAAACAAATTTAAATTCAACAAATTCAATGCCTAATAAAGTAAAACTGAAATATATACCATTTACTAATATTAAAATTCAAATTAAAAGGTAATAATTTACAAAATATATTAATAATTAACAGAGAAGAAAAATTTTGAGCTTACTATTGGAAGAACAAAGGACAGTAATTCAAAAGGAAAAAGTTTGGTTGCCTGTTTGGCGTTACTGGCGACACAATAGGCATTGATAGGCATTGAATTTATTTCACTTAAATTTGTTTTTGTGTATTTTTATTTCATGTGAAAGGAAGCCAACTGTGTAGAGGATACATTAGAAATTTTCGGGTGTGCTATTAAAATTAAATAATTTAAAATGATTCATCAGCTAATTTTGGATAAACAGAAACGTGGTAGTTTTCCTAAGAGGAGGGGTGCAATTGAATATAATCTACCGCCTCTTGATAACGTTCAGTTGTTTTAATTGTAATTTTTTCCTATTATATGTATTTTTGTGTATTTCTGTTGTTTTGGAGATTTCTTCTGGTTTAGAAACACCGAGATAATTGGGTTCTTTTATATTTTTTATTGGAAGATTTAGGGATTGTACTGGTTTTTAATTTCATTTCTTTCATGCCTGTGTGCTTTTGGTTCTAAATTTCTTACTGTTTTACCTCTGTCTACATATGTATATTTTTGATGGCAACAATTTGAAAAGTGACTCGCCATTTATAGTGGATGACGCAAAATCCCGTTTCGAGACTTTACGTTCGAAAGGGCGAGAAATAGGCTGACAATAACATTTTTTGTTTGATTACAAATTTGCTATAATGAACATGGATTTTTAAAACTTGTATCGCAATTTCAAGCAGAAATCGATACATTTGGCAACGCCGATTCGTAACCCATAATTCCAAAACACTGGTTTTACCGTTTTGTCTGCATTGGATTCAACTTGTAAATGCGAACAAATATTTTCACCCATAAAATTAGGAGCAGCCTAACTACTAAAAATTCAGATGCTTGTACTGATGTTTGTACTATCTTAAGACGACTAATTATAAGCCAGACGTGACTAAGTTGTCCTCCCAAATTCAGCATCAAGAAAGCTATTGATATCAAAGACGAAAATAAAGTTCATTCAAGTATATTTGTTTTTATAATAATTAGAATTCTAATAATAATTTTTATGTTTGTAGTTTAAAGCATACTGTAATTATTTTCTCAATAAAATTTATCTCATTGTTCACCAAAACAGACTATTCTAAAATGAAAATCCCACTGACCCGAAACTTCTTCTTAATACACACCGTTTGGCTGATTTTGACCCGCAGCCAGAAAAGATTGTCAACGCCTGTTTTAGATTAGCAGTCCAGTCCTTCTTTGAACCCATACCTGACACTTTCTTTATTTTCTTCCCATAGGGTAGGAGATTCTATTCCTTATTATGGGCTCCAGATGAATGTAAAAAACCTGGCAGGTAGCGAATTCTTGAATTTCTTCCTGGTGTCCTTAGTAGAAATACCTGCACACTTAAGCACGTGGCTGTTCATGGAACGTATTGGTAGAAGATGGTGCTCAGTTTGCGCATTTGGATTGTCTTCTGTAGCCTGTCTCCTTCCGGTTTTTTTCCCTCCAGGTAAGTTTTTTTTTTTTTTTTTTTTTTTTTTTTTTTTTTTTTTCCTCAAATAACGAGACAGTTCTCCGAACGCAAGCCAAGAAAATGTGACTTTAAAATATAAATCCCGATAAAAATTCAAACAATTCATTTTAAAGATGATTTAATTTTAAAATCTAAATTTACTATCCTCCAGCACACCGTTGATTTATGGTTAGAAAGTTAGAGTGACCTGGTTAAGTGTCCAGTGACCAACACAGATGCTCAACAATTTGTTTCATTCTTTCATTCGCCCTATGCTTTTAACTTATGACTTGAGCTCTAGTGACAGACAACTTGTAGCCTGTAAATGCTGTTGGCAACAAAATGAACCAAACATAACAATCAAGGCCGTTGGTCGCAAGTTACCTTCAAGTTGACAGAAATTTATACTCAATAGGTCACCACAGTGAACTGGTTAAGTGTCCAGTGAGCAACACAGATGCTCATCAATTTGTTTCATTCTTTCAATCGCCCTTAATTTTAAAATCTAAATTTACTATCCTACGGCACACCGTTGATTTATGGTTAGAAAGTTACAGTCAACTGGTGTCCAGTGACCAACACAGATGCTCATCAATTTGTTTCATTCTTTCAATCGCCCTATGCTTTTAACTTATGAATTGAGCTCCAGTGACAGACCACTTGTAGCTTGTAAATGCTGTTGGCAACAAAATGAACCAAACATAATAATCAAGGTCGCTGGTCGCAAGTTACCTTCAAGTTGACAGAAATTTATACTCAATAGGTCACCGACGGCATTTTACTAAAGTCCAACCGAGTACACAGATGCACATTAAACTTGTTGGTCGCTAGTGATCTTTATATTGAGGGTCACTCGGGGTCAACCCAAAGTCACCAACATGGAGCAATGAGGTAACTTTAGATACATTAATTTTAATTTTAAACACTATCTAAGCTCTGGCGATCTATCGGTTGTATGGCTATCTAAGCTGTCAGATTGTAGGTTTTTTTAACCCGTAACCTTGATCTTTTTATTTTTTTAGTTTATAAGGTATTTCTCCCGCCTTCTTAGCATGCCTTCGTAGTGTGGTGGGTCTGCGCGCTGGGCGCGTATTCCAGAGGTCCGTGGCTTATTTTTCATCTATCCTGCTTCCAGAATACCTAATGTCTCTACAGTGGAACTAAAAGGGTGGTGGATGATGACTCTCCACACCCAGGATTTGGCGATCGGGTACCCTAAAAAAACCCCAATCGCCCTTTAAAAGGGGGAGTATATAACGTATTTCTCGCGCCTTCTTGGCATGCCTTCGTAGAGATCGTTTTAGATTTATTATGGTATTTGAATAGAACATGTGGCAACGATTATATAATTCTTCAGATGATATAAATTTCCTGCATTCTGAGTTATAAAATGAATCAAATGTAACGCTGGCTTTTAAATGAATCTAGCGCCAGAGAGTCACTATGATAAAACAAATATAGTGAATTTTAAAGAGTGCATTTATTCTATTGTAGCTTATGCGCTATCGACGAACTAGATTTAATTCAATCCCAATAAGTTTAAATGAAATGCAAGAAAAAATGTGTATAATTTAACGTTTCGTACAAGGAAGTCATGTGGTGTACACATCAGATTTTTTTCTTAACAATTCAAGGTCTGTACAGAAAATACTTAAAAAGCGTCTTCGCAAGAAATTCTGTTGCGTGTCTTCATGGTTTATTTTTTGTGTAAGCCAAGTATGAACCATTTTCCCTTAAAAAGTACTCGAGAAATACATTTCTCCTTTTAAGTAGAGAAATCTCTCTCATTTAACAAACTAATCTTATTGGCTTGAATAACCCACGGTATTTTTCTTCCATAATACCCTTCTGAAAATCATACCAGATTCACATATATAACCTGATATATAAAGAAACAAACCCGAAATATTTGTAGAGATCACGCGAAATTCAAGAGGAAGATACGCTTGCAAATACACTGGTTATCACAAATTAAGGAAAAATCACAAAAATCACGATTACTGAAAATGTTACATGTAAAATTTTATGAAACTCCCCACATATACAACACATATAAGGTATCAAATAACATAAAAAAAATTACCAGACAATTATGGTAGTATGAAATTAGCAATTATAAATGAGCAAACGAAGATGTCAGTTTGCATAGTAAAGTAACTTCTATATGAAATATATCGCCTTAGAGCAATACAGCACATTCAGCGATGTGTGATGCTTTCAATTAGCGTCTATCAGTTCCACAGGAAGCGATGAGCAATTGCCTGCAAAGCCTTGCCACACGGCAAGGTTAAGAGGGCGGATCGAGAGCAGCGAACGTTTCCCTAAAGCATCCCAAACGTGCTCGATAGATTCAATCGGTGATCGAGCGGCCACTCCATGGCGAATTGTTTTCCTGTGAAAATAATCATATACGATCGAGCCGTGTGGTCTGCATGTGGTCCTGTAACAGGAAAGCATACCATTGCCCCGGCATATGGCCGCACTAAGCTCAGGATGTATCTTATAAACATGCCATTCACGGTTCCCCTTGAAAAACAGGCGTCTGTGCGTGCACCCAAAGAGATTCACGAAAACACGACACGCCTCTTCCGTTGCACTCTTTACGGATGTTGAAGATGATACGTGTCCAGGTTCTCCTCCATATCAACACGCCTACTATCGCTTCTGACTAAACCTTGACTCACCGTAAAGAAACACCCTCCTTGATCGGCGTCCAGTGGACTGTTGTCGTTCCACTAAAAGTCCTCCATGCGTGACGTAGCAGCACGCAAGTTTTCGCTCGCATACAGACCACCTTTGTGAAGACTTCTATGCACATCAACCTTCGTGGCTGCAGCAAGGAGGATCTAGAAGAGTCGGAGTAGCGTTCTATTCCTGCGGCACATATGTCAAATATCGGTGTCTGCCGCTCGTGTATCATTGGCGTCCTTGGCTGAACCTCTAGGGCCGAATCTGTGATTTGAAATGCCCCAAAGTCTATGAACCCATAAGATCTCATTAGCCATTGGGCCCTTCTGTTTGCTTTGTCCTACGCTAGTCTCCCAATGGCTTCTATGATTCTGCAGGCAAAGAGGCCTGAGATCATTGTTACGATCGGCTATCTAGATTCTGTGTCACGATACAGTGAAATGTTGGGTTGCTCTCAAACTGACTTTTTCTCTGAGATACGTTTCGGAGTGCAGCGCCCTAATTCATATTGGAGTTTACTCAGCTACTCTTACTTGGCAACATATTCAAATTTTACACGGTTTGGCTTATTTTTGAGGGAGTTATTTTTGTGAGTTTTCCTTAATTTATGATAACCAGTGTATAATAGACCCGTCATTTGAAGAATATAGAATCTTCGGTATGTCTCAAAAAATATGCTAACCATTGCTGTAAGATAATATATTTCAGCATCAGGAAGATATAGATTAGTCTGGACACCTCAGAGGCAGCGATTAATGTTTAACTTTACGTTAGAATGAGTTGTCAAAGGTTACACTACTGGAGATAGTTAAGACTGGAATGCAGCAGACACAGGAACAGGATCGTCTATTAGTATTTTATTTCTCATTTGAATCCATCCATCGGGGCGAGTAATGGCAAACCGCACATTGAGTTGATCAATGTTAACGAGTTTCGCTTACTGCGCGTGCTCAATGGTCTACCGTTGGCGTGGGAGGAAATGCTGGCGACTAAGCATAAGCAACCCTACACAAGCCTGTTCATCATGTAGATTTTATCGACTGATTTTATCGACTACCGAAATTTGTTTGTGCTCAATGCATCTGCTTCTGTTTCATTTCATTTTGGTTTATTTTGTTCATAAACATTATATTTAGTATCAGTTATTTATAATAATTTCCTTGACTTTAATTAAAGAATTTAAACTGAATTTATTCTTTCATTTTGAAGTATATACGAATGGAACGTTTGGTAAATACGCAATTGCTTTTATTCCTCAGAAGTATGATCAATAAAGATTCAACTAATAATATCCTATCATGTTTCCTATTTTCTAATCATTCTTAAACGAAAATTTGCTTATTTTACAATCGATATTTACACTATAAGTAATGAAGCAACTTACAACCTAACAAGTTTTAAAACTCCGAACAACAGAATATCAACCACACACCGTATTTATCTTCTTTTAAAATCATACCAAAGCCATAATTGCGCCAAATTCTCTTCTGGGCATGCGCGCTATGCGAAATTCGTTCAGCATTGATCAACTGAATGTGCAGTTTGCCATTACGCCATCGGGGCAGGCAAGTGCATTATATACGTTATATACTATTGTTACGAAATGTACAGGCGCGCTAAGATGTCTTCCCTGCAAAGCAGTTTTAGGGTTGCCATAAAATAGCAAGGGAAGCGACAAAATTGGCGATATACTATGGACGGATGGAGAACCATTTGGAACGAATTCTTACTGGTTTAGCCCAGAATGTTCTCGAACACAAGCCGAAAGCTATATAAACCCTGCTGGTCCGCAGTCAGTGTGTGTGCCTTGTCTAGCGAGCTGATAGTCAGTGATTGAGCGACTGTCTCGAAATCTAGCGCCGAGGGGGTCGTCGAGTGCATCGAGAGAGTCTTTTAGTGCATCGCGAATTAGTGCATCGTAGAGTTTTGTCTTAGACTGTTCTGAGTCGAGAGCTATTCTCTTGTGTATCGTCGAGTGTATCGCGTGGAGAGTCTCGAGAGTACGTTGATTTCCTAGAACGACCAAACAGAGTCGGAAGCTGTACTCTGGTGCTTTGCGGTGAAGCTGTCTCCACCGTTATTGCCTGACAGTGTGAAGGCTGTGTCGCTGAACGTGTCAGCGTATTTATAACAGTTCGACGACTGTAAAAGTGATTTTGGAGCTGTCCTGAAAATATTGGTAAATAAAGTGTGTTTCGATACTTCATCAAGTGTCGTCGTTATTAACTCCAAATCTACGAACCCCGTACAAACTTGAATGAAGAAAATAACGTAACACTACATACATTATATATATATTATAATCATATACGTTAGGACTTATATGATTTCTATGCATACCTCCAATAGTTTCGGAGGTCGAAATGTATCATCTACTGTAGCTTACAAAATAATATGTTTGACAGCTCTTTTCTTGCTATGCTGTTTTCTTGCAATTCTCTTTTCTTGCTGCATAAACCTTCCTAGGACTTCAGAGACATATCCAGGACTATTATTTCTTCTAATTGCTTTGGCAAACATGCTGGAGTCTTGAGTAAGAATAGAGTTTACTAAAAGCTATATTCTTGAAAGTGTAGAAGATACAACACAAGGGGGAAGGGTTTAACTACCTTTTATTCTGTACATTTTACAGCTGTTCTCGCACTTCGGGATACAAAGACCAGCACTTATGGTCTGAAACGTAAAAATTAAGAACAATCTAACTAAATTAAGTAAGAACTAAACTCAAATGCTTCACAAAGACTAGTAACACTAAGATTGGCCTTTTATATCTTTACGTATGCAGTACACAGAATGCGGGCAAAACTACAATACGTCTTCAATATCAAGAGGACTAAACCTCTGGTCTTAAAGGCGGACAGCAACTGACTGAAAAGCGCGTTTGAAGTAAGGTGGCGAGAAGTCTCACTCTCTAACTTTTTCTTGGCTAAAAGCCATAACTTAAATACTTAGAGAATTACATACTAAACCGCGTTTACTCTGGCCAGAAGTGGAAAATAAGAGGGGACAGTAAAATGTTAAAATAAAATAAACGCTAGTAAAACTTAAAATCCTTACATATAGATCTGTCATATAACTATTTACCTTTTTTAAAATAATTATACTGATCTGTCATTATAACGCAAAGAAACATCTGTTGTTTTTGCCTTTATTTGTAAAATTCAAAATAACTTTCGGTTTACCTTTTACAGGTATTAATGTACTTAACGTTCAGAGTTGTGTCCGAATTCAACATGTAACTCAAAGAATTATGATATTATTCAAAATGAAAAAAAAAAATTTTTTTCCCCCACAGAATATGAGATAGTGGGAATTGTGGCATCCCTACTTGCAAAAGCTGGCACCAGCGCCGCTTTCATGACCCTGTATCAACAAAGTCCCGAGTTGTTTCCCACCTCACTTAGAGCGGTCGGCATAGGTATGAGCTGCACCATTGGCACTGGATCGACGCTGATTGTGCCCTACATAGTCTACCTGGTAAGAGCACTAAAAGAGTAAATTTATACTGGTCTTATCTTCCGACTGATGCACTGACTATTTTAAATAACCTTTTTTTGTTCTATTCAGTCTTTAAGTTCTGTGACACCACGCTCTTCCTTCAAAGCATTATACGGTATCACTAATGGTTTTGGAATAGACGCTACTCCACGAATGTTTACAGCATACAGTGTCCTGAACAGTTCTGAAGGATATGCGGTTTTAGAGATACATGTTCATCTCGATAGTTATTTGGGACACTTTCGATCATCATTCGCTTCATTATCCTTCTATCCTTGAAGATTATCTTCCAATATCGTCCGTTAATTTGTTTTGAAAATGAAATTTTGCCATTTTTTTTAAATGTTTATAAACTATGTGTACTTTTGCAACATCCCCAAGCTATTCTTGTCGCTGAGATTCCAACGAGACGACCTCCCATGATTCTTGCAAGTAAAGCAGGTCAAACATAATGATGTTTGCTTGCAGAATATTCACATACAGCCTGTGCAACATCGTTATATGGTCCCAAATGGGGTCGAATTATGACCAATTTTATATATCGGTGTTCATATTTATTTTGTCCATCGTCTGCATAATTAGAGACGTCGTCTATTAAACGTAGAATAGTATAAAGTTCATAAAATTTACAAAAACATTTACTTAACAATTAGCTTAGATTACAAGAACAATACGTTTATTTAAAATTGCTTAGTTCTAAAGAGTATCTATATTACTTGAGGTTCTCGTGACATCCCAGTTACGCGAGCTGTTAAAATATCTTACACATATTTTATTACGTATTCGCATTTATAAAAAACACTATTATTATATTAGAATTTGGTTTACTAAACATAATAGCACCTAGTTATCAGTATGTATATAATTTATCATCCCACCCGAATCTATATCAGAATCTGATCTCCTGATCCATTGATTGATTACCCACGTGTTAATCAATATTAGAGTCTGCGATGTCTTCATTGTCCATAATACTAATATATCATCATCAGAAACATCAATAACATACTTTAATGTGCGGAAATATTCAAAAGCAAATTGAAGCCAAAGGGTGGAAATTCAAAGTGCCAAATGAAAGTGCTTAAATACTCGAAACAATTCGATTCTAAGATACATTCCGTTTTTAAAGAAGCTCATATGGGTAAAAAGATATTTCTAGAATAAAACACATACTGTTCTTTTTCTAATGTCCCGCGCAATTCTCAGTCTTTTGAATTTAATTAAGGTGAGTTTCAGTTGATCGTGAAATGCATGTTTTCCTTTTGCAGGCTAAGTATGGGACATACATACCATTCCTGATCTTTGCAATGATAAGCATGATTTCTGGAGTGGGCGCATCTTTTCTACCCGAGACGTTGAACAAGAAACTTCCGCAGACTGTGGCTGACGCGGAGAATTTCGAAAGAGATTTCAAGTTTTGCTCATGTGCAACGTAAGTTAACAGTTTCTTTTGTTTATTAACTTTCGTGTATGACTTTAAATATTCATGTTTCATAAGGCTGTTACTTATTCACCGAAAATATACCGTATGCACATATTTTAGAAAAGTAGTAAACATAAAAGCTCAAATGTGGGTAAAACACAACCCTTCCCTGTCATACAAGCTTTGTTGCAAAATTACAAGGAATATTTTAACAAAATTAAAAATATAAATAATTACAAATTTATCTGATTAACGGTGAGGTAATATTATCGTTTAAAATTTATAAATTAATTTAGAATAAACATCAAGTTTTTTTTAATGTAGATATACAGGGTGTTTATAAATGAATGGTACGGTTTTAAAAATTAATAATAAATCGATGTATTATCTTAACCGTGTAAAACTAAACAGTAAACTTAGGCAACTGGACAAATTTCTCATATGCTACCTGCTGTTTGCTTGTAATGCTTACTGCGCAGTTTTGCTTGTAATGCTTACTGTCAGTTTCCAAGATGGCGCAGTAACAGGCATATTCACAAAACCTACAGACCGTTTTTTCTTCTGTTTGCTCCAATTGGTTTAAACAGGAAGCGTATGGTTACAGAATCTTGTGCTTGACGACTTTCGCTTCATTGCCTTTGCTATTTGTATATAAGTGTGGTGTACCGAAAAATTCCACACAATTCCCCTTAGCTTTCATTCATAAAATAAAAATTATCGAATGAAATAAACGCTATTTCTCCTCGCTTTACTGAAAGCCCACAAGGTATGTTTGTCGTTAATTACCTAGTCTATAAGGCGATAAGTCTCCATTTTAAATATGACCTCCAAAGCAGATGTTTCATCCATTGAGGGCATACCGTAGAATAAAAGGTCTGTAGGCTTTGTGAATATACCAGTAACAGGGAAAGGCTTTCTGTGTACTCCGTTTTGAGGGTTCCACACCTGTGGTTTCAGTGTAGGCGTGAGTTTCGTGCTTATATGGGTAAAAAGATATGGTGCACAGTTTTTGTGCATCATATCTTTTTACCCATATAAGCACTTAATTCAGATATAAGTGCACTTAATTCAGATATAAGTGCACTTAATTCAGGTATAAGTGCACAGTTTTTGTGCGGTGTCTCGCGAGAACGTTCACAGCCCATTTATCTTCGAACAAGAAACTGTGATCGGTGTCTCAATTCTAGGTATGGTGGAAACCTGATTGTTACCCTAGTTCAGGGGTTCCCAACCCTATGTTCGCGGGCATCATGGCGCTCGCCGATAGTTTAACGTGTGCCCTTCGCTGTGCGATCATTAAAAATGTTTTATTTTAAATAAAATACTATGTGAAAGTTTTCTCATTTTTAATGAAACAGAAATTGCGTACAACACAGATATTAACACAAATGGAAATGCAACAAGTCTGTTATTTATGTGCATGTATTATTAACTCTATTCAAATATAAATCCACCTTGGAAAAATCCTAGTTGAATACCACTTGTGATGATTACATTTTGAAACTGGACGGTGCTCCGCCCCATTTACAAAGGAATGTATGAGAGCTTCTTAATCGTGTTCTTCACCAACGTTGATTGGACGGGGTGCAACAGCAGACAACAACCTTCTCCCCTGGCCACCCCGTTCGCCGAATTTAACACCATGCTGTTTCTTTCTTTAGGCGATTTTTAAAGACCGAGTTTATGCACCTCCAATGCTCGTGTCTCTTACGGAAGTATGTGGTCGGATTTATAATTTTGTTACATTTGGTATGCAGAAAGAATTTTCACAGAAGTAATTTATAAGTTTTCAAAAGCTAAAAATATGTAACTAATATTCTCGCGCAGTTTTATTACTTTAGAATCATAATTTAATAACTAGAAAAATCCATTAAATGAGAAATATTTTTTAATTTATAAAAATCAGGTTGCGAACTGGGTAGGTGCCAATACTGAAGCCCCGTATTATTTTCTAGCACGCGAATTCTGTAAGTTTCTGTGAATAACATCTTCTTTTGGAAAAAAAAATTGATCAATAATTTTCACATCAGTCTACATGGAAATGCCAGTCACTGTTTTATGACCATTCAAATCTTTTCTCAAAGCTGATATTTTGTTTTTCGTTACTTACAAATGCAAACATTTTCCTTTCCAATTTGTATATGGCCCCTGATTATAATTTCCAATTTTAAAACTAAAATCTTTGCCAGTTTTTGAGGTATGGAAATCAAACATTTTCCATTTTAATTTTTATCATGAACACAAAACTTCCTAAATATAAATGTAAGACCTAGAAAAGCATATAAAAAGTTAGATTTCTTAATTTTTAGAATTTATTTCCCTTTAATTTTGAAGTGGAAAGCACGAATATTGGCATCCTTTAAAACATTTTTGTAAGTGGACGTATATGTCTATGACCAGAAGTTGCGAAAATATAGGGCGATAGAGGACATTTCTGGACCAGATGTATAATGCATTGCATATACAGGGCGATTCTAAATTGTTTTTACAAATTAAGAGGGGTGATAGTACTCATTCAGATGAGCAATAATTACCATAGAACATAGGTTCGCATTCCACTCTGAGAGGCAGAAAAGAAGAATATTAGAATTCCAACCTCAACTTACAACATGTTGTTACAACATTACAACATTACAACAATGTCGGAAAGCGAATGAACGAGACCAAAAGTTGCGCAATCAGTTTAGTGAAAAACTCACAGAGAGTGCACAAAACGGATAAAACCGAAAACTTGACGTTAGAGTGTTAATTCGAGCTCAGACTGTGATGGCAAATACTCAAATGCACATCTTTGGATTCTCAAGGTCTCAACCTCGCAAACGATTGCAAGCAAGTTAATTATCTAATCAAAGGGCTGAATTAACTTTTCAATTTAAATTAACACCAACTCCCACTGTATGCCGAAATTAGAATGAAAAGTTCAAGTTGTATTCCGGCTGTCTGAACTTCGTGTCCTCATTAGAAGGGCGCTTCAAGTAGGGAGCACAGTTCACATTGTAAGTTCAGGAAGAACAGGATAGAAGATGGCGAAGGGGAAAAAAACTGCTCCGTTGATAATATCAAACGTACCTTGAGTTGGAGTTAGTTGATAATATTCAGCTGTTAATTAGATAATTAACTTGTTACAATCGTTTGCGAGGTTGAGACCTTGCGAACCAAAGATGTGCATTTGAGTGTTTTCCCATCAAATTCTGAGCTCGAATGAACACTCGAAGATCAAGTTTTTGGTTTTATCCGTTTTGTGCACTTTCTGTGAGTTTTTCACTAAACTGACGCAACTTTTGGTCTCGCTCATTCGCTCTTCCAACACTGTTGTAAGTTCAGGTTGTAATTCTAAAATTCCTCTTTTCTGCCTCTCAGAGTGGAATGCGACCCTATGTTCTATGGTAATTATTGCTCATCTGGATGAGTACTATCACCCCTTTTAATTTGTAAAAACAATTTAGAATCATCCTTTATAGTAGTATTTTACTCTGCATGTAACACGCCAATGCTTTTTAAGCACCTAAAATGAAAAATTTCTTCGATATATCTATCAACCATTCTTTGTCCAAAACTTAAACATGGCATTTTTTAATTAGAAGCTGAATGTGCTGAGGACATGCGACATGCGACGGGGGACGTGGGCACCACCCCTTTACCGTCGGTTAATTGGTGTAGCGCCACGTCCACCAATATCTAGAGTTGAACCTTGAGTCTTTCAAAAGAGCAATTACATGGCCATACAAGGGCTGTTAATATTTAGTATTACATTCTTGTTTGCTGGTTAACATATTCTATGGATAACGTGATTTACAGAGTTACATACTGACTTTGTCTCTCATTTCCGGCATACAATGCATATGCATTACCTGAATTACATTAATCTTACATTGCGTTGGATTACTTTTTGTGTACAGTTACAGTTTTTAGCTGTACATTTCAATAAATATAACTACATTACTTGTAGATTGCATATAAATACAGTTTGCATGTACAGTTACATATGCCAATATTACATGTGCCTTGCGTTACACATTATTTTTTATATACATACATAGTCAGGCACGCCTGCTTCACATATTACTTAATTTTACCTACACTGCTTAACCTTAGGTTACATATACTTGCAGTTGCATATAGATACATGCAGATACATTCTGATTAATTTTTTAGATACAAATATTTACAAACATAATAGTCTTACAGGTTACTTACATTACATGTTATTTGGGTACTTATTGCAGAATTTTCCAGTACATGAAACATTTAATTCCTCGCACAGCTCGGTCTTCTTCTTCAATGGCTCGACAGCCCTGGGTGGGTCCTGGCCTTCTCCAATAACCTTCTCCAGGCATCTCTACTTTTGTGGCAACTATTTTGCAGTTTTTAACCTTTAAAATATTAAGATGTTTCTCGACACAATCAATCCAACTTAGCGGGGGTCTGCTCCGAGGTCCCATGGGATTTGCCAGAAAGATTTTTTTGCAGCAGCGATCTTAATTCATTCTAGCCAGATGGCCAGCTCTGGAATTGTAAGTCTCTGTAATTTGACGAATTTATCAATATCAGATTGTTTGTAAATTTTATAGCGTTCTAAATTGGATCTTCCCTACCAAAAATAAAATAATTTGACAGCGACGAAGATATTGCAGTTATTTTGACATAATAGTTTTTAAGTAAGTAACACGTAATATTTTTCAAAATAAATTTGGAAATTTTGGCTCCTAAAAATTAGATGATGGAAAATACAGGATCACAACAAGACAAAAGCACCAACCATAAGCAGAACAGTGTGGATAATTATTCCATATATTGATAAAAGCTGTAATTTTAAATTCATAACACTTTTTTAAACATTATGCAATATTGAAATAGTATAGCTTTTAGTTTAAAAATTTAGTTACCGTATTTGCCGGCGTATAAGACGCACTTTTTTTTTCTTTGAAAATAGGTCTGAAAAACGGGGTGCGTCTTATACGTCGATACTCAGTTTTTGATTACATTCATTTCTGGAAGTTTCCTCTATTCGGAATTATGCAATTTTTTTTTCTTGTTTCCTTTCGGAGTGCGTGAATAGTACAGTTACGTAGAAATCAGTGAAGAAACCTGCCATACTAGTATGGGAATAAGCCTCGTTCTCACAGAACAGAAGGTATTAAAAATGAAGTGTCTGGGTTTTTACGAAGAAGATTAAAGTCTCTAATCGATTGGGTATTTGCAGAAAATATTGCTTTGTATTTGTAATACTTTATATTTAAAATACTGTAAACTCATTATCATAAGTTTTAGCCTTCAAAAATGTGTTTAAAAAATGGGTGAGTCATATACGCCGGCAAATGCGGTAATTTAATTTCCTTATACGTAAATTTAGCTAACGCTCATACTGTGGCGTATTAAGAAGAAGAAAACGAGAATATTTTCTTATATATGAAAATTGTTTTATAGGACTTGTGATCCAGATCAAGAAGCCGAACAATCAACCTGGACACCAGCTATGCTATCAGCTGCAGATCTCTCCAATTCAATGAAACATTTCTCGGAGCATATACCAGTGAAAGATCCACCCGTGTTATTAGTTAAGCGAAATTCTGCTTCATCTGTTACAGATATTCCTCCCGCAACAATTTCTACATGATAAAGAGTTCAAGTATTAAGACAATGTTTACCAAAACTTGGACAGACTATGATGAACTGTCGCTTGACATACATTTAGAGAAAGACTTTGGAAAAGTAGCACAAATCAGAGGACATACAGACTTTTATGGAAACTTGTTGAATTATTGTTTGTATCATGTAATAAACAAGGAGAACAGATAGTATAACTGGAAACTCAAGTTTTCTAGCCTGAAGAGCAGTATATAACAAAATCACCCACGCTCACTTCATTGCCTGAATTGCCTGAATTGCTTGCTGTTCATTGCCTGAATTGCTTGCTGTTTGGAACCATAATTCTTAATGATATTGCTGCGTCGATACTACTCAAGAAACCTTTTTTTTTTTTTTTTTTAATATTTTTCTAAAAGTATGTTTTTGAAAGTAGTCGTTTTCCTATTTTTTTAGTAATCGACGGTAACAATGTTCTATTAAAATCTATTCTGCTCTATCTCAGGACTTGCAGTTATTCTGATATGCACTCACTCATGCTGCACTTATCTTACTGCTGCTATGTTCAGCTCCATTTTCGCTAATCAAAGTTCAATCACGTGACTTATTTCAAATGGAGTATGAAGTTTAGTATACCATTCACTATTTCCTTCGATATTGTAATTCAAACGTGTAACCATTTTCCTGTTTCACACTGTACAAATCTTCGAAAGCAATTTGTATTGGAAGAAGATGTGTAAACTGAATCTCCAATAAAAACATTTTAGTCTTTTTATACGTAATTTCTTTTCAGAATTCAAGTACAGCCACCTAACCGGTATAGTGGTTAGCGCCGCTGGCTGCCGTGGGGGCCGAAGGGACCGGCCTCGAATCCCGGAGAAGGCAGGGATGTTTGTAAATATATAGTGTCGGTGTGGTATAGTGGCAATTAATAAACATAAAAATACATCTTTGCAAGTGGACTGTAGTACAATTTTTATTTAGCGCTTTCAACTTTAGAACAACAACACAGCAAAAAGTAAAGCGAGAAAGTTACAATCAAAGCTGTTTCAAAAGCTGTTTCATTATATATACAGCTTTGTTTACAATTAGCGTTTGCAAGAACGCAAAAACAAAATGCGAGCTGCGCATTGCAAAACTATATCTCACAGACAGGCAGACGACTCTGATGGCCGAAACACATTAATTTGAACCGTAGAATCGAAATATGGAAAAAAATCGGCATATTGTTTCAGGAAAAAAGTCCAATTTTTGTGCCAAAATACCTATATTAGAAAAATCTTATATATAAATCTTATATATATTCTGAGTCACGCTCTCGAGACGTAAAAAACGCAAATTAAATTTCACTAGTCGGCCCAGTAAAACGGATACACAGAACTGTCCCCCCCTTTTTTTTTTTTTTTTTTTTTTTTGTGTGTGTGTGTGTGTGGTCTGTTTGTGTAGAGTGTGCGTATATACAGACATAACCAATAAATCTCTTCTGAATACACTTTATAATCCATTATAGAAAAAATAGTCCTTTATTCTGTCCTTAAGTACATCTGTAAAACAAAAAAAATTTTTAAATAGATTCGAGAGAGATCAAAATGGTTATTTTCGTTGAAATATGATACCCGAAATTTTTTGTGACTTCAAGGAAGTAAAAAGACGTACCTTCATAAAAAGACCAATAAGTATTTGGACACCTATGCAAATGACGATATCTGCGGTCCTAAGTACGTCACTGACTCCGCTGGTATATATCGTGTAGGAAACACCATCGGCTTTAGTCGCATGCAAGATGCCTCGTAGTTCGGAGCTCTCTGATTTCGAGAAAGGTATAATTATCGGGTATCACAAATGTGGCCGATCCTTAAGAGACATATCTAGCAATCTGAAGTACCCCAAATCGACAGTGGCCTATGTGATTAAGAAGTGGAAGGTGAGCGGGATTGTCGGAATGTGCCCCGAGTCGGCAGACCAACGAAACTGAGAGATAGAGACCGACGAGTGCTGTCCAGAGAAATTCGGAAGAACCGCACCCAACCGCGAGGAGTTTCAACAGGCATCCGGGAGTATTCTTTCAATGAATACCATCCGTAAGGAAGCACATCTGCTTGGTTTTCATGGTCGTGCTGCTGCCCGTAAGCCTTTGATCACAAAGTCCAACCGCGCTGTTCGGTTAATGTGGTGCAAAGCACATCGAAATTGGACCGTAGATCAGTGGAAACGGGTTCTGTGGAGTGACGAATCAAGGTTCACCCTTTACCGTTCGGATGGCAGGGTCTGGGTCTGCCGTTTACCTGCAGAACGTCTCCTGCCAGAATGCATTGTGCCAACAGTCAAGTTCGGCGGAGGTGGAATTATGGTCTGGGGGTGTTTCTTCTGGTATTGGCTGGGACCCTTGGTCCCCATTCATGGTAAGCTCAACTCCGATGCCTACTGCACTATGTTGGATGACAATGTGCTTCCTACGTTGTGGCAGTTTTACGGGTTGGACCCCTACTAATTTCCTGACGACAATGCCAGTTGTCATGTTTCGACGTTAACCAAGGCTTGGTATGGTGCCAGTGGAGTTCATCGAATGGACTGGCCTGCCCAGAGTCCAGACCTGAACCCTATCGAGAACCTCTGGGACGAGTTTCATCGCCGAATTCAGGGGTGCACTACCCGTGCAAAATCGGTGAAGGAACTTCTATGTCTTCTCCAAGCCGAGTGGAAGAAAATACCACTAGCTGTCATTCAAAGACTTGTGGAAAGTATGCCCCGGAGGGTCCACGCTGTAATTACCTCTCGTGAAGGCTCTACCAACTATTGATTTTGAATAAATTTAGCTTTCTTTTTCTATCAAAGGTGTCCAAATACTTATTGGTAGTCAGTGTAATGGAAACTACTTCATGTTGCATTTACAGAAAACCATGTTGAATTGTCATGTCCAACAGTCTTGTCTACTCGATTATCCTGGATGTCCGCTACAAATGAATCACCAGCTTAAAGAAGGTGAATGACAATTCCTCCTTTCAAATTTTCAGAACATGATATATACAAAAGCTTTCTTATCTCATTTCAGTTTGAATGCGACACTTAGAAACTAACCAAGCCTACTACAGACAAATGAAAAGACATTTTAAATTATATAAAACTCCATTAAAATCAAACTTAATTGAACTCTATAACGTAAAAAAAATCTTATCAGTAATTATAACAAAAACGAATTCTTATTATACAAGTAAAACGATTCATGTTTGTCAGTTCCGTTATTTGAATAGGCAAAATCCACTCATATTTATTGGAAATGAGTTACGATTTTTGAGATGCATGATAAATTTTCTATAGTAATTCTAGTGAAAGGTGAGGAACTCTGCTGTTTTATTTCGGGAGGAGAAGGGGTAACGGAAATTATTTTTCTATATATGAGGTACCTTATTTTTTTAATTGTGCATAGACTTGTTCCATACTTTTCTTTGTTCTCATATTGGTGGTTCATATTCACTAACAGTGATAATAGAGTGAAACATAAATAGTGCGAAATACACAATATAATCTAAACTATCTGGTCACTTATAAAATAGTTATGGTGTATATACATGTCTTGTACAGTAGAAATTAATGTGGAGAAGGATCCTCTTCAGGTGTGATGACAGCAGTCATTCTATTAAAAAAGCTATCCACAAAATTTTTTATGTTTGATTGCCTCATGGAATTCTTCATTCTTGCAGAAAAGTAATCTGTCTCACATATATTAAGATTACAGCTCTGAGCCAGCCAGTGTATTCTGAGAATTTTTATGTCAGAAACATATACCCAATGGGTTGGAGCACAATTGTGCCGAAACACGAAGGATTCCAAACCACAGGTTGCTATAACGTGGGTTAACATTGAAATGTTTACAGTGCTAAAATAAACATCTGTCTTCATACTTCCCTTGACAGATACCAAGGGCCCAAGGCAAAAATACAAGAAACGAGACCATATCGTAAGACTTCCTGCGCTAAACCTAAGATAAAAATATTGTAATTGTTGCTCACTTGGCATCCTCCACAGAGAAACATGATCGCTGGACTTTCTCGCAATATACCTGAATTCATTGTTCCATATGACAATTGCTGTGGTTCAGATTACAGTTATGTTTTGCATTACACCACGTTAAGTGATATGCGACATTAATCGTAATAATGTATGGTTTATGTGCAACTGCTCTTCGGCAAAAACCAAAATCTTCGACTGTCCATAAATTATCATTGTGCCATTATATCAAAGAGTACTGTGGAATTTTCCAACCGATCTCATAAGATTTTATTCAACTAATCTACAAAATATTCTTTGGCTGCTCTGTGTCAAACTACATGATCCCTTGACCATGGTTGAACACATAATTCCTATAACTTTCCTCTTTGCAATCACAGCATTCATAATTTGAATTTGCTGAAATTTCATCAACATATTTCCCATACTGGAAACAACCACTTACCTTTTCTCTTCCAAATTCAGACAGCTGATGCTATTAACTGTGGGAAACAGCATCTTCTCTAAAGGCCTTTGCCATCTAGGTTAAGGTTTGCTATGATAGGTTTGCCATTTAAGTTAAGGTTTGCTATGATAGGTTTGCCATCTAGGTTAAGGTTTGCTATGATCCATTGCTGTGGTCTAATTGAGACTATGATTTTCAAAAACAGAGGGACATATCTTCCTTTCTCTTTTATCGACCGGAAAAAAGGATACATCGTTCATACTTTTAAATAATTTTAAAATGATTGATCTTTTTGATCTGCTTCTAAGATCAAAAAGATCAATCATTGAAAAAACGATCATTTAAGATCTTGTTGCAAATTTAAATTACTAAAAAGACATAAAATAATTTGTGTAGAAATAAACTCTGTATTTGAGCATTATAATAATTCTCCTTAATTTTAAACAGCCTAAGTATGATAGTTGTCATGCTCCTCATGAAAGTAAAAAATTATTCTAAAACTTAAAAACAAACTGGACATCTCATTTTTCTTCTTATGAAAACTTTTTTTTTTTTTTTTTTTTTTTTTTTTTGTACAGTGACAGGAATCTCTTTTTTTAATATTATATATATATATATATATATCTATATGAGCCAAAAAGTTCGTTTAAACTTTAAAAAATTCATAAAAGAGGAAGAAATTACGACAAAAAAGTGAGGTTTGCAAGAAAGGTCTCAAAAGAATGTCAAATTTGTTTCAGCAGTAAAAACATTTTTAGTTTCAAATGTCACAGGTAAAGGGCGATGACGACCTGAAACACAATGAACAGGACAACAGTATGCTCCATTCATTTATTCTTTCAATAAACAGTGGTTCAACATAACCTCCAGAACATTGTAACAAGTAAGGTGATTCACAATGCTTATTACAGCTTAATGCAACACGTCGGAATGAATTGCGAAAACCTTAAGACAGACAGAATCTTTGAGTTCGGCATATGTTGAAGGGGATGAAAGGTGTTAGATATTCATGACTGTGCTAGCCGATAGATGGCAGTGCCTCTAACCTTACTGTAGCTAGGCAAGTGCACGGTAATTGTGCTGCAACACTCTTGTTACTTGCCGGCGACCATGTAGCATCAATGTCTCTCTTATGTATAAGTAATCTAATTTAATCTTATAAATAAATAGACATAAGACTTAAAAGCATAATATCTGTTTGACGAGTCAACATATATAACAAACAGTACACAAGGGATTTCAAATAGCCCCACAACCAGAATTTGACCAGAGTGAGTTCGGGTGATCGTGGAGGCCATGCGATCTTGCCATCTCAACAGATCACCATCTTCACCAAAGTTACTCAATAGGAATTGTTTTATTCGATTGGCATAGTGTAGCAGTACAGAATCCTGCATAAAGCTTATTATAGATAAAGCACATCTTTGATTTAATGCGGACACGACATTCTGAAAGTGAATGAGAAATCCTCGTGTATCATGTTTTTTTATTGCAAGATCAATTTGGATAATTCTGTTGAATCTCTCGCATTTCTGAGCCCTCTACCGGTGACATTTTTAACTAAAATTTCTTTTGCTGCTTAAAAAAAAAAAAAAAAAAAAAAAAAAAAAAAGACTTCCTTGCAAGTCCTTTCCTGAAAGCCGCACTTCGTTTTCATAATTTCTTTCTTTTTTTATGAATTTTTAAAAGTTTTAATGAAATTTGGCTCACCCTGTATATAACGTCAGAACAGAAATTGCAAAGCTCATAAACAGTACAGTCTAAACTTTATTTTAAAAAAAGAGATGGAGAGTTTGTACATAAAATAGATTTTTTTATATTCTGCATGAAGTATTATATCATATCAAAAGACAGATAAGCAAGTCTAAGACTGTAGCCTAAAAGAAACGGACCTTTAAAACTGATTCCAATTTGCATTCAAGCACAGAACAGTATAGTTAGAGACATGCATTAAATTTTACAAAGAACGTTTTCTATAATTTTGTAATTTGCAATCAACATTTTCCCAAACCAATGTCACTGAATTGCAAATAGGTTAACTGCTAAGTGTAAAAGAGAGAATGCTCCCCATTACTCAAAGACACTACATATACAATTTTAATGTTTTATCTAGGATTTGATCCATCATCCCATAACTACATTCACCAACCACCAAAAAATCTGGAATGGCAACTACCTTAATTAATTGCTTCCCATTTATCAGTTCCCCTCTCTTGGCAGATTTACATTTGATTAGCATTTAGTCTCATATTTTCAGTTTCATGACTGCAGCAAACACTCTCGATACAGTTTTGTAACAGTAAATTTGTAATTAATGTTCTTGTAACAGTTAATTATAAGTGCAAAATTTAAAACTTCGGAACAGCATATTAGTTTAGAGTAGGGTTTTGAACCTTTTTTTTTGGCCCGATGCACCCCTTTCACCATTGCTAGATCATTTCCACCCTCCTTTCAAAAATTTGAAAAAATATATATTTACATTTATCTATATTTAGATGATTTTTTAATACATTTTATAAATTAAACAATAAAAAAAAAGAGTAGAAATTGTTGATAAATATTAAATTTGAATAAAAGTAGTTTTTTTACATTCATAAAACTTAGTACTTAATAGCTAAATAGAAGGCTGGCTGCATTCCGCCTGAAGTTATGAAATCCTCCCAGTTTAGAGCAATAAACCATATTTTTATACATGTTATTAATTTATCTCTTTTATAAATTGAATGAAATAACAAATACATTAATTATAACAATGTACCAAGAAATGCAAAAAGTCATCTCGGTTGTTTAATGTCCTTAAAAATAAAGAAAGGAATTAGATGCAATTATTTAAAATAAAGCTTCAAAAGCTCTCTTTTTATTTACATAACTATACAAGATTAACACAAAAAGATTATATAAATAACTTTTTACAAATATATAATATACTATCAATATGACTGATAAATATACATTTTTATGTATAAATACAGAAGAATTTATTGGCTAGGGGAAAATGACATTAAATCTCCTTTGATCGATTTGCGACATTTTTGTATGCCTTTAGGAGCAGGTGTGTACAATAAGCTCACTTCAGATAATTCAGCGACTTGCGCAGACTTGAGAACAGGACTAGATGCAACAACATCTTGCAAAACTTCCCTAGCCTTTAAAAAATAAATAAAACAGAAATAAGCAATAATGTATGAATTTAAAAAGTGAAGGTTATGAAGAAAATGTGATTAAAGAGACCGAATAATTCTATACCCAGACACAGTATACAGCAGCAGAAACATCTTTATTAATAATAAAAATGCTACAAATATGCATAATTACCAGCTGAATTTGTTGCCAGTTAAATGAATTTTAAATTGCCGCATTTCTTCATGTATTTTTCCCTCTAGCATTTTACAACCACATTTTGAAAATTTTAAGAATATTTGCAGAATTTTCTCCTTTCTCAATTCATTCAGAAAACGAGCTCCCCTAAATTTTAAATTGAATTCATTTATGTACCAATTGTTTTTGTCTTTCTAATATAGACAAACCCTTGTAAACTATTTGTGAAGGTCTGGCCAGATCTTTCTCATCTAACTGTTGAACTTTATGCCAGCTAATACAATACAAGACCTGCCTAGTCACAGTGAAGCAAATATGAACTGACACTCAATCTATAATTTTACTGAATCAGCTGTACACTCACTTTCTCTAGTTATTTATGGATGATTTGAGGTCTAAAGAATAGCAGAGACAACAATAAAAACAGACGACTTTCAAGTTACAGGGAAGAAGAAATTAACATATCATATTAGATATCCTAATGTTAATACTTCTAATACATTCATATAGGAATGCAGATTCTTTCAAATAATATTGTGATAGTTACATGTAGTTTATAATGAATACTCTTTATTTTCTATGTTCTTACCATAACTATGTCTTTTGGAAATTAAATTATTCTCATAATTTTCCTCTTTCGATTTTCTGATGATAAAATTATGAAAAATAAGAAATGCAAGGAAATAAAGTATATCAGATATTTCATTAAAAATAAGTTTTGCCATTTCTAAATCATAAGCCCTTTGATAAGGAAAGCAATTTACAACTTAAAAGTATGCTATGTTGAATGGAAAGATTAACCATTCAGCAATTAATCAAGCAATTAATGATAACATCTAGTAATTCATCGATTATAATAGTATTATTAAAAACTATAACACATAAATAGGTAAATTAAAAAATTATCCCCAGTGCCGTTTCCACCAAATCTGTAAAAGTCATTTCTTTTAACAATACGCATTACAGTGGTTTTAAAATATTTTTAGAAAATAACAAAAGCAAATTTTTAGAGTTTTCTTCTAAGAGAATAATATGTTATTTTCCATATGTAACACCAACAGAATGGCATTTATGAAGAATTTTTTAACTTGAGGTTTCCATGCCTGAGGAACTGCATATAAATTGAACATTAATATAATCGATACCATTTATTACTTTAGTCATTACCGTTCAGTTTAATAGGATTGGAGAAATAACAGTAAGTGCTATAAAGTGACGAAACTCTGGGTATTATTTGGCGATATGGTGAGCAATCATACACATGGAAAATGACAGCTGAAGCTAACTATGTCTATTGTGCACAGAATGAAGTGGGGGGGGGAACCATAGTTTTAAGATTCTTTCTCATGCTTTGGATTCAACATTCTGGTTTCTATGAAAACTATAAACACAGAAGGCAGAAAACCTATAATCACAAAGTAAAACATTGAGATAAGAGTTTATACAGTTGTCTAAGTTACCCCATTGTGAATCACATATTTGAGAGCACAAATTTAAGATTTTATTGCTATCATCTGCTTCAGCGTATCTGCAGTAACTAAGACTGATTAATCTACTACCTGCAGTAATTGTTACTGCCACATGGGCTACATCTTTGACTATGGTAAATCTAAGCCTTGTCTTATCCTAGCTATTCTGAATGCATACCTATAAACCTTTATGAAATCAAACTAATTTAGGCTTTATAATTGTCTTATACTAATAAAATTAAATACATATGTGTTCTGCCAGAGAAGCCACCTACCATCCTCTACAGACAACAAACACTACAAACAAATCATTTTATACAATGCCAAGCATATACTATTATTATTGATAGAAGCAATTTTGAGCAATTATTAAAAACGTTATTGTAAAAAAGTATTTATCAATGAAAGTGCAGATAAATAATTTGTTTCTTTTCACATGTTATTTCTTGTGTTTCACTCTTGGTATGTCATTTGCACTGATACATTCCCACACAAAGAATGTTTATTGCAATGTGTGTTCTACCCCCTTTGAAATTGTAACCATCATTTTTGTTAGTCTCTATATATATTAGTTAAATCTGATATATATACACGCACAAAGATAAAAGATTTAAAATGTTGTATTTCATCAAGACTGCATCAAATGTAAAATATTTTATACATTTCATTATGATATACCGTATTTGACGGCATATAAGACGCACTTTTTTTCCTAAATTTGGTCTCAAAAAAGTTACCTGTGTCTTATACGTGAAAGATACAGGTTAACTTTCAATACTGATGCTTTTTTAGCTGGATACGTCTAGACACATATAACTTTTTCTACATCTGCTATCATTATTTGTGCATGTGAAATATCTGTCGCGAAAAACATAAAGCTCGAAGCTGATGTCGAAGTCGAACAGGTTCGGCGGTCACATTATGTCTATGGAGCCTTTCCTTCTTATAGACTTTCTTAAACTCAGCCGACACACATATCGGTATCGTTGCTACTCTTTAATAACGTGTCGTTACCGGTGCTTAAAACTATTTGTTTTAAAAAATTACCCTGGAAAATATGACTATAGGAAACAAGAGATTAAGCTGTTCAATTCAGTATAAACTAGGATTGTTAAACTACGCCAAATTGCATGGAAACAGAGCAGCAGCAAGGCATTTCGGTCCACCACCTAACAAAAAAAATGACACGTACTTGGCGAATGAAGGAAGATCAACTGAAGACTGCTATAAAACAAAAACATAACCTTCTGTGTCCAGCTCCATCTTGACCTGAACTTGAAAATGCCGTAAAAATGTGGGTGATAGATAAGAGAAATCTGGGATAAGTGTTTTCAATTAAAATGATAATCATCGAGGCCAAAGGATTTGCAGAAAAAACAGGGAATCAGAACTTTCAGGGTCTGAGTGCGGTGCACAGCTTCATGAAAAGGCAAGGCTTATCAATGCACACAAAAACAACTATTGCACAGAAAATGCCAGCAGATTATGAAGAAAAAAATTCTAGCATTTCATAGGTTTGTTATAAATACAAGAAAACTTCTATTGAGCTCGGTCAAATAGGAAATATGGATGAAATTTCACTTGCATTTGATGTACCATCCAACAAGACTGTGAGTATTAAAGAGTCTAAATCAGTAACCATAAAACCACAGGTCATGAAAAAACCAGATATACAGTAGTTCTAACAGGTTGTGCTGATGGCACAAAACTTCCACCGTTTTTCATACCCAAAAGAAAAAATTATCCGAAAGAAAAACTTACAGCAGGTGTAATTATTCATGTTCATCTGAAAAGCTGGATGGACGAAGCTGGAATGAAACTGTGGTTACGGAACATATAGGCGAGGCGACCTGGTGGACTCTTAAGAAAACCCTCTCTTTTGGTTTTGGATCAGTTTAGCATCTATAGAACTGAAACCATAAAGAATAAAGCGAGAGAATTAAAAAGCCAGATATCTGTCATTCCTGGTGGACTGACTAGCCAACTGCAACCTTTAGATATATCGGTGAATAAGGCATTTAAGGAAAAAGTGCGAGAACGATGGAACAAGAGGATAGGAGAGCCACATCACGCCCTCACACTCTCAGGTAGAATGAAGTGGCCCTCTATTTCACAAGTGTGCGAGTGGATAAAAAGATCTTGGGAGGACGTAAAGGCTGAAGTAATTGTTTTAAGTCCTTTAAGAAGTGCGGAATCAGTAATGCTCTTGACGGAACAGAAGACGATGCATTATTCGAAGAAGGTGATACTAGCGATGACAGAAACAGTAGTGATGACGATATTCTCGTTTTCGATGATGATAGTTTATGATGATAGTTATTTTTATGGTTTTGAAAGTGATTACAGTCTAATTTCATGATAAGCAACGTTTTCCTTGAATCTGTGTTTTTTGTTGTTTCTGCTTTATTTTGTGTTATGTTTGATTGCTTGCTGTTCATTCATTTATTCATTATTGAAATTTACATATCATGTTCAAAATAGCTTGCCGTTTGTTAATTTTCCTTAGTAAAACTAGGTTTCGTAATTGCATTCAATGGTTGTTTATTTGGCTTTTATGAAACGTGAGAACTAAAAGAAACCACATTTTAAGTTATTGTGGAACCGCGCTCTCGCGCAGACAATTCAAACTTTTTTTCCCTTGTGTGTGGCCTTCTAAATAAGGATGCGTCTTATATGCCATCAAATACAGTATTAGAATTTGCAATACTCAGAAAGAATGCAGAAGTCAAATGAAAATATTAAGAATAATGCAACAATCATAAATGTATACTTACCGAATCATTATTCAAATTTAACCTTCGAAACGGACCTGTTAGCTGTGTATGTGAAGATACATTGCTAATACTGTAATCTAAATAGAAAATCTATATTATAAAAAAAGCATTACAAGAATCACTTTGGGTAATATTCAGTCCTACATAAATTAAGACTAACTGCATTTCAGAAAAATATCATTAATCTTAACATTATAAAGAACACAGAACAACAAAAAAGACATACATTTCATTATTTCTGTTCATAAGAAATGCCTGTTAACCCCTTAACATACAAATAAAATACCATTTAATTTTGGACACTCATATGCAAGCTTAGAAATAGAATGTTCTATTTTGAAATTTACATTGTTATACAGTTAAAAGTCTTTAATTCGGACCTCAAAGCTACAAACTTTCTGCGCGTGCATGTTTAATGTATAATGGACGGTATAAGCTAAGCTAAAATTATCTAATTATCTATTTCAGTTAATGTCGCAGATTGCGTTGTTCCTTAATCTTCTAACTGGATCCGGCTTATTATTTTTTGCAGACTGTTAGAGCAATTTTATAAAAGTAAGCTTGAACTTTTGATTATGTCAAAAAGAACTGCCGATTATGGAACTGCCAAAATGGATGAAGGCATATCCCTAGTTTCTCTAACCATTCCGAAATCTGTTTATCAATTTCGCGCTGCTCTGCGGGGGGGGGGATGAACTGGAAGTTGATCTATGAGGACTCTCTTTATCTTCAGGGCAGATGTTTTTATTTTATTCAACTTATAATTCCTTACTAAATGTAGTATTTCATCTCGATGTACTCCATATTTGATATGATTTAAATCAAATTCCTCGTCATCTATAATAATAAAAGCAAGTGTAATGTGTCTGTCTGTCTGTCTGTCTGACCGAGCTCTCCAGCCAAATCTATCGCACGCAGGGACCTGGAATTTTTTATACGGAAGCACAAAGGGGCTGGCCACCAGACCTCGAAGCCCGATTTTCGATTTTTGAATTAGAAAAATTTTTAAAAAAAATTATTTATAATTAATTAATCACGGTTTTTTTTTGACTCACTGATATTATTATTTGTTTTCAATAACGTTCGATTGTAACAATTGATTTCTTTATTCTAGCGTTAGTTTGCTGTTTTGACGATACATTAAATCGATTAAATTACAATTCATTTCTTTTTGTAGCTTTATTATTTATAATTAATTAATCACGTTTTTTTGACTCACTGATATTATTATTTGTTTTCAAATAACGTTCGATTGTAACAATTGATTTCTTTATTCTAGCGTTAGTTTGCTGTTTTGATGATACATTAAATCGATTAATTACAATTCATTTCTTTTTTGTAGCTTATTATTTATAATTAATTAATCACGGTTTTTTTGACTCGCTGATTTATATTTGTTTTCAAATAACGTTCGATTGTAAACAATTGATTTCTTTATTCTAGCGTTAGTTTGCTGTTTTGACGATACATTAAATCGATTAATTACAATTCATTTCTTTTTTGTAGCTTGTGGGGGGGGGAAAGAGAGAGAGACAGTCTCATGTCCTACACTACTATTCCTGCGCTATTCACTTATCTGCATTTTCTAAATGCACGGCAACGCCGGGCGGGTACAGCTAGTTAAAAATATCATGAATACACATCAAATAGTTTTCTGGTTGCAATTTTCTAATTTCGACTATGCGTAATGCGCGTTGAAAGAAATGTTTAATAAAGTAAACAAATAAATATTAAGCTTTTTTTTGTAAATTTTGATACCCTTTAGATCACAATTGCTCTTTATTTCACAAATTATGGTTTCATATTTTTAATTTTATAATTTCTGCATGCCATCTTACCAGATTTAAATTGATGATCTATAATTCGGAATTGCCGAAGTTCCGACGAGTCCGGATTAAAGACTTTTGACTGTATAACAATAATAACTATGCGGCTTTCGCCAAAGACAGTTCTTGACATCTCAGAGACGTCAAAGTCTACAATGGCACATGAAATCAATGATGTCTCATGGACATCATTGTATGTCAAGGGGTTAATACATTGACTGTCAACTGCCATAATACATGATTTAGCTGACAAGACTAAGATAACTTGTAAGCTGTTGGATTTATACTCTATTCTATTTTTATATTATAATGACAAATATACACACATATGACCCACTAATTTAGCAAAACAACAATTTAAAGTATGTACGATTACATATTACCTAACAGTTACAGCTATTACAAAAGTCTCTGTTACAAAGTAACTGAGACCTTTTGAAAAAAAATCTGATGTGTGCACCACATGATTTCCTTGGATGGAATTTTAAATTACACATATTTTTTGCTGCATTTCATTTAACCTTATTTCCTCGAATTTCATAAGAGATAGATTTCTCATTCAATTAATTCATTTCTCACTTTACAACAGGGCAAAAATACATAAAACCTCAAAATATCTTTATTCAAGATTGAAAACTATAGAAAAACATAAAACATCAGTTACAGTTAAAACAATTAAAAAACAATTCTTTCAATTAAAATTAGAATTTTTACACAAAAACAAGCAGTTTGTCCAGCGGGCAAGTAGGCAAATATTTCAGGGCAAAAAACTGAAAGTTTACTGTTGGTACCAGTTGGCAAAAATAGAAAAATGCAGAAACTGATTTAATTCACTATTCTGCCAAGTTTCAAATATAAACAAATATGGCTGCTATGGTAAACAAATTAGGCTTAGCCCCACTTAAACAACTTTTAAATTGTTGATGATTCTACAACTATTGCAAGAAGATAAACTAAAAGCATAAAAACCTTAACCGGAAGATAAGAACAGCATAATTCAATCATTTTTAAAGCAAAAAATGCGCAATTTACCAACTAATAAGAATAAAAAAAACTGAGCTCATGGAGCCAAATAACAGAGTGGGCATATACATATTTTATATACTTTTGGTGCGACCGATTGCAACAAAAAAGGGAGGTGCACAACTGCATGTTATAGCAGTCTCATACACAAAATTTCAACGTTCTGAAGCTACTCATTTTTGAGTTATGCAAGATACATATGTACAGACGTCATAAAAAAATCTCCTCTGAATCCTTTTTAAATCATTTCTGCAACCTGTTTTGGGAAAAGGAGTCCTTTATTCTATCTTTATGTACAGATGTCACACAAAAACATTGTTAAATTGTATATGATAGCAGTCAAAATGGATATTTTCATTGAAATATGATATCCAAAAATTTTCACAATTACATTACTTCGTACAAGGAAGTAAAAAGGGGGAGGGGAGAGAAAACATTATTTTTTAATGATTATTACATATTATATTTTTGATAATGATATAATTAAAATAATTAATACATAATTAAATATACAGTTAAAATAAATTAATCTTTGAAATGCAAATCCTGAAAATGGACATCACAATCAACATATAAATATCAAGACAAAGTGAACAAAATTATTTACTTAACCAAACAATACTTGTTAATTCAAAAATTGCAATGTAGAGCACTTCCACCTGATCCTATGTTATCTTTTGTGCCATTCATTAAAAGGAAAAAATACATATATAGCAGAATTTTGATTATTAAGTTTCTAAGGCATTTTTCTGTTCATGGAACAGCAATCACCATCGGTCATAAATGTTGGCATGAAGCAAACAGAAATGGAAATGACAACTCTTGATCACTTGTGACAGACACCATTATATTGAAGTCAAAATATAAGAAAAGAAGAAATATGGACGAGTTTATGATAGCAATATCAATATATAGCAATACCTCTTTACCAAAAAAAAAAAAAAAAACCTTAAAGGAGATTAGGATATACTGAATTATAATTCAGAATAGTTCACACATAGCTGAATGTTTTAATCAAGCCTGCATATCACCTACACCTTAAAGATAGAAATTTCAAGCACTGCATTGCTTTCTAGTTCAAGGCTGAGACAAAAGTAGTTATTCACTATCATTGCTATAAATAAGCCAATGACTGAATAGTACAGGATGTTAAAAAAAATGATAATAGGTATAATTTAAGTATTTGATTCAAAAAATAATAACCAAACTTTATTAAATTGAATTCAAAGAAGAAATTAGTAATTAAGGATTTGAATTTTAAAAAAATTTTACACAAGACCATAAAATTCAATATATACTTTATATATTTAAAAAAGCAGACAAAACATAATTAAGAATAAAAATTTATATATAACAATTATAAAAAAATAAAACAAGGGTGGTTAGTATAATTTTGAATTTTTACACATCTTATCAAAGATTAGAGAGACATATGAAAGAGTAAGTAATAAATTAATTTTTTTTTCAACTTTCCACATAACAAACTTGGCAAATAAATTGAACTATCTCTGTCTGTAATTGTAATTACAGACTACAAACACGTAACAGATTCAGTAAAAAGACGTAATGTTTATAGTGGTCACGCAAGTCAAGATGGGCCCTGCATTCCAAAGTGCCTCCTAACAAAATCTGGATTAAAAGAAATTGTAAATATCATGTCAAAAGATAACAGGCCTCAAAAAGTTCATATGAAGGAGGATAAATCTATCAAAATGTTTACTAAAATTTTGTCACTGTGTAAATATTAAAATTTTGTACTTTGTAATAAAGAAAATGCATTACTGTATTTATTTGCTAAAATGTTATTAATCTATCAAAAATTTAACTTTTTTACTACTCAGGCATTTTATATAAAACGCAGAAAAAATATTTTCATGTGAACAAGGCCTAGAGAAAAAGACGCAGAATATGATAAATAATGTTAATATTTCAACCATGCAAATTATAACAATGTCAGTCCAGTAGAAGAAGAACGTCTGAACACTGAACAAATTCAAGGAGCTAGTATCAGTAATACAATTTAAAGTAAATTTTGAATATAAAAAACAGAATAACTTCATCCTCAATTTCCCATAGAAAATGCATAGAATTTCCTAATTTCCTACTTTGTTAGCAGTTTAGCACTAAGCATCAGTTTTGTATCAGCATTTCAACATAAAATCGTATATTTTTAATAATTTATAACATGGGACAGAAAACACACTCAAAAAGTGATATTTTTGAAAAATAAATTCATTTTTTAGATTCTGCCTAAGGTAAATATTTTCAAAATCTTCACTCAGAATCAAAATTCCTGGAGATATTATTTAACACAGATAAAATAAAACACAGAAAATTTCCTGAATGTATACTTTGCTGCCCAATCGGTATAGTGGTTAGTGACACTGACTGCCATACTGATTGGCCTGGGTCCGAATCCTGGAGAATGCATGGATTTTTGTATGCATAGCATGGGGCACTTAAAATAGACAGCGAGCCAAGATGGTTCTAAAGAGGATTGTGACAGGCCCTCAGACTGCCGCCCAAGATGTTCTCTCTCTAAATTGAGACGAAAGCCTAACAGTTAGGCTTGGCAATACCTCAATCACCTGTGGCACTATAGAGGTATTAGCCTTCTACCTGTACCTGTATATATACCTCACAAAAAAGTTTACATATATCCTCTTAAAAATGAAAAATAATAAAAAAATGAAATTGGTTTAAAAGACTCCAAACAAATTTTGAACAAATTCAGAGCCTGTCTCACTTTTCAGTACAATTGTGCTAGATTGTTTAACAAATAATGCAGAAAAAACAAAAAATGAATTTAATACAGGTCCAAAATGAAATTCTGAAATGAATCCAAAATGAATGAAGAAAAAAATGTTTATATTTTGATTTAGAATGCAAAAAGTTCAAAATAATTATGAGCAAAGAGTTCAAGCTTATGCCAAGTTTTAAATTCAGATTATTAACTAGTTAAATGTTTTCAAGCTATTAAATTGGTATTTTGACATTACTTTTAACATCACATTTAATATGTTACCAAAATATCAACAGGCCTGACTAAGAATAAAACGTATTATATAAATGTCAAAGGGAAATAATAGTGCACAAGCATGAAATTTCACAAAAACATAAAATTATTTTGCTTTCTAAAAGCTAATAGAAAAAAATACTATTAAACATAAAGTAATCAAGAAGTTTGACTACATGCTCTCAGCCACTGTGGTACTGTCTGTATGTCACAAAAAGTACTGTCACCAGTGTGTCAAACAGAAGGTGTTTATAGGTACACTTATTTCAAGTAGGGGTTGAATCAGATGAAAGCTTTACTTTTAGCAAGTGATGGCTATGGAAAAGACAAAACAATGTTGTAACAGGTATTTTACTTTAGATAAAAGTCAAAAACCCTATATCATCGATTCTTCATGAAGTGCATCAAGATGGCAAACTTAATATTTTTTGAAGACCCCTATGAAAAATGGATTAGAGCTTATTTTTCTGGTAACAGACAGATGCAGACATTCTGTTGGGAAGTAAATTCAACTATTGTAGATGCATGCAAAATTTGAGTTATCTGGTTTTAAACTGAAAATTTTTGCAGTAACTGATTATTAACACTAACACAAGGCATGCATGTATATGTCAATAAATCTGTTACAATACCATGCTATGTTAAAATTTAATTTCTAATTGCTTAAATGTGATATAATTATTTTTATATTTCTTTATTAATAAATACAGGACATTAATTTGTTACATTAATTTTATTTAAACAGAGTAAGAAAAAATAACTTTTGAAGTGTTGACTTTAACAGATTAAAAATTACAGTTGAATATATGGTTTGGCATGAAAATGAATTTTCTCCCAAAGATTAAAAATTAGATCAGATTATTTGATTACAGCAAAGAACATAACGATTATCTGTGACTGTTAGAGGAAAGATGCCTTTAAGAAAGACTTACTAAGGACACCTAGCTAATATCCACATTACACATGAAATAATCTCGAAAATCACATGCAGTTAGCTTATTTGCCAGGATTTGAAGCTGGATTAAACTGAATTAAGAATTAGCTATAGATGGAGTTTATTGGTTTCAAGGTGTACCTAATTCTTGGGAGAAAAGCATACTTATTCACAAAAGGAAGAAGGAACAGGAGGTTAAGGACAGAAGGAAGAAAGATACAGAATGCTATAAAGTTGTCACATTTCAGCCATTCAAATTATAATACCAGTTTGGAAGAAGTATTAAGTCTGAACATACAACAAATTCAAAGCATCAGCAATACAGTTAGAATAAACTCTGAATAGAGAGAGAAGGGGGATCAGAGAAGAAAGGGGACCAGAGAAGAGGGGAGGATCATAAACATGATTAAGAACACGTTATATAAAATTTTCTAGACAGTTTTGGTCTTCAATCAGAGTGGTCTTCTTAGAGAAGAGGGGAGATCATAAACATGATTAAGAACACGTTAGTATAAAATTTTCTAGACAGTTTTGGTCTTCAATCAGAGTGGTCTTCTTAGAGAAGATAACTATCAGTATAGAAATTGTTGATCCATGCTATGAATTTAACTAAATGAAGGCCAGTAAAGAAAAATACTGAAATAGAAATGTAATAATGGATTATGGTGCCTTAAATCTTTTTTTTTTTCCCTAGCAATTCACTTAGAACTTTGCTTCTGAGTGGGATTTACTACACGATTTACTTTGTTTAAAAAATATTTGCAAACTATAAGACTTAAATTGTTTAAGCTTCATAATAAAGTTTTACGACATATTCGTTTATTATTTAGAGATCTTAATTTTATGTTCAGGTAAACAAGTCTATTGATTTCGGAAAATTTAATTCTTTACCAATCCATTACAACAATTTTATACCCTTAATTTCTCAGTTACAACAAAATTTACCATTTACAGATTTGACACAACTATGTATAATTTATTTATGCTATGCTTTAACCCTTAACTGCCACAGGCATATATATAAATGCACCTGGCTCAGCCGATGTGTTAACTGCCCCAGGAGTATATATACGCCCTTCCAAAATACTATCATTTGCTTTGCGCTGCTACCAGTAAAATTATTTGCAAAGCTTTGGAATGTAACACTACATGACCTTAACAGAGTATGTGAAGGAGGATACTACTATTCCAGAGAAGAGGGGGGAGGAATTGGAGAGAGATGTTCCTGAAACAGTGAAAGTAATGACTGTGTGGTTATTGCTGGTACTTCAAGTAAAACTTTTTTTTTTTTATTCTGTGTCTTTTGTTTACTGTTTGTAGTAGGTGCTTTACTTACAAATATGTTTGACAGTGATGACAGTGAAATAGATGATTACTTTCTGCCATCTTGAGGATTAGACACCTCAGAACATGGTATTACATCAGATGAAGAGGATTACAACTATTCTCTGAAAAATGCTTGATGTTGGGTACAACTTGGCATGTAAAACTTGCCTATGGCATCGAATCAATTCAGAAGAAATATATTTTTTTAGTATACTGATTTTACAAGGTATGACACTGAAACTTGATATTGCACTTTACTGGACTAAAAATAAATTGATCCAAACTCCATTTTTGGGGATCTTTTTATCCTTTTTAATTGTACATCTTTTTTATTACACAAACATCATTTTTATTATACTTTTACCATAAACATTAAATTTTGTATTTTCATTTTTTCTTTTATTATTATTATTATTTTTTTAAGTAAATAGTTTTTAGACAGCAAAACTTGCTCTTATTCCCCCCCAATACATTGCATAACTACACGTGCTTGTGTAAAAACAGTGGCCCTGGAAAGTAAATTTTGTACATTTTAAGTTATTACTTTACTATTTCACCAAGACATGGCACATACTATGTCTTTTTTCTTTCACAATTTTCAGTTGATAAAATTAACAAAGGAGAAAATACACAACTCCATGCAATATTCAAGACTATTTAAGAAAATATTATCCCTACCTACCTTCTTTGAAAATTTGTTTTTAATACCTTGTTATATAGTTACTTTATACAGGAAATTGCTTTAATCAGAAACATCAAATTTCATCAAAATTAAATGATGCAAGTTAGTCCTACTTCATTTATATATTATGAAATGAAACTCAAAAGTAAAACTAACCTTTTATAGGTGTACCTATAAGTGTGATGTTCTCATCACTGATCATAGAATCTATACTGTCAAATGGATTTGCTTCCAAATTTGAGAATGCAAGTTTATGACGAGGAGTAAAGTGGAAATTCTTAGAACTCTTCACATGAGATGTCCTTGGTGTAGATTTTAATACTGGCCTTGGATTACTTTCACAATCTTCAGGTACATTTTGGAATTTTTTACTTTCTTCAAATGTATAGGAATCAACTTTTTCAGCTCCTAAAATTATAAGAACTTGTGACACTATCAAAAATAATTGTAAAAAATATTTGAATGTGAATATTAATACTCAGTTTATATCCAAATAATAGATGAAATATAATTAAAGAAGATATCTTTAATGCATAATAAAAAAATGAATCATGATCTGAGTCAGTTTCATTTGGTTTCTTCTAGCCCACTTTCAGAAAAATGCAAAAATTAATTTAACATTAGAAAAATACAAGATATCCCCTAATTATTTACTAGATAACAATCAAAATTCATTAATTTAAGAAGTAACTTCTCACAGAAAGCATTAGGCCATCACATTAACCCTCACGCTGTGTATTTTTTTATTAAAATAGATTTAAACATTAAGTACTTTTTATTACATATTTCAAATCTACATACATTTTAGATTTAAAATATATACAAATTTTTGTAAAAGAGTTTTTTCAAAATATAAAATTAGATCACACAAAATGTTTGTCAGAAAACTGAAATTTAAGAATAATCGTATAAAAGCAAAATTTTGAAAATCAATGTTGGTTTAATTATGCTTTATTTTGTGAAATACAAAAGTAAAACCTAGATCCTAGCTTGCAATGTTTGCAATTTGAGTTTCTTTGTAAATTTTTTTGGGCCAGTTTCAGTTTTTATTTTTTTATTGTTATTCTTTTTAATTTTTTTTTAAAGCAACAAAACAGCACACTATCTACGAGGCTCTTTTTTTATGGGATTTGGGAGTATTGAAATATCTAACAGTTAGTCTCACAGTATTGAGAGTTGAACTACAGACACCTTTGAGCTTTGAAAAGGGTATGCAAAATGGTGCAAAACATGCTTGTATATTTCGCAGAAATATGAACAACTAACGCCACCTGTCAAACCAGATCTGAATAAACAATTAAACACCACAGAAAAATCAAAATGAAACCATGAATGGGAAAAAAGCAGGTTGCACAGTGAAATAGATGAGGGAAATGGATCTCCACAGAAATCAAGGGGTTGCACAAATTTTGCTACTTCTATGTTGCTGGTGGAAATCGGGGGATATGCAGCAAGAGTGTTAAATGATTCAAAAGCTTCTCCTTTTTAATAAATTTTTACATGAGACAGTGTTTGATCAACAGAGGTATCACCCAGAATCCATGTCCATAAACAATCCATTGTCCATAAACAATTCATTTATGGACATGTGCAAGTAGCTTTTTCAGAAATGAAAAAAAAAATTCCTTCAAACAATTACTTTAATGCACTTTAAACATACCTTACAGCCAACAATGTTCAAGCATGATTCTCCAATCAAATAAAATTAACAGATTCTTATGAGAACGTAAAGAAGTTATAGACTTGGTGGAATTTAACTGCTGGTTTAAGGTATCAATAAACTAAAACTTGGTTACTTAAGATGCCCACCTAGAGAATGAAGCTATCAATGCCAGCTTTGCACTCTGCATCATACATATAGCTATATGGATAATGTAAAGCTAGTGATGGTAGCTTTGTAATTTGCATGGTTTATACTATCTACCCAAAGTACCCATGTAAAGTTTATTATTAAAAAAAAAAACAATATGTATTGAAAATTAAATCGATGAATTTAATGGTAATGCAATAAAAACAACTTTTTCTAAAATATATTTTGCAATAAAGATTTTTATGCAACGACTAGTTTTAAATACCCTACTATAACTACCACAAAATTAATTGTACAAGAAATTATGCAGCAGATGATTTTTCTAATTTAAATACACTTTTAAGTATTTTTAATGATTCAAAATATTTAAAAATACATTACATAATTGGAGCACAGACAAGATTATATACAGCAAAAAGAAAAAAAAATGTATCAGAGTTTGATAAATATACCTTTTATTTCAGCTTGAAAGCTACAAGTTTCAAGAGATAAATTTTTATCCTCTTCCAACCTTGTATCATTACAAGAATTAACAATACTTTTGGCTTCTGTACTTATTTGCAGTGGATTTATTGGAGTAGACCTGAAATAAGTAAGCATAACTAAGCAATTAAAGTAAATAATTTTAAACTTTGAATTAGAGACTAATTTCATACTGATATTTTATTTACAATCATTATATTGACATAATTTTCTATGTAAGTAAAATGAGTTACAAATATTGGATACAAATTTTAGAAAATGAAAATGTTTAATTAATTCATATACTGTAACTAGCATAACAGTTGAGATAAAAGTTTTGCAGCTTAAACAGATAAAACGTTCATTTTAAAATTAGGCAAAATTCTAACCTGTATTATTAATTTTATAGAAAAGCTATACATATAAAAAATAACAGCTTTCTAAAGTTCTTTAGAAAAAAGGAGGGAAAGAAAAGAAAAGTAAGGGGGGAAAAAGGTATTTACTATTATTTACATATTACCTTTACCTAATCTGAAATTTAAAGCCTTTTCTCCTATATATCATGCAGAAGATATGAATTAGATATGAACTAGAATAAGTACTTAGCAAAATTGGGCCCTCCCCAGCCATGGGTTTGCAATAATAATAAATTAGGATCTCCTTTCTTATTTAATGTAATTTTGGTACTGATAAAATATTTCAATTAAAATTTATGATATTAAAAAAAATCATTTTGTTAGAAATAAAAGCAGTAAAATGCAAGTTTCATTCTTTCATTCATCTAAAATAATTTCTTGCTCAATATCAGCTCAGCAATAAAAAAGCAAAAGGTTAAATTTGGAACAAACTAAATGGACACGTAGCAAATTCATGCAAATAGGTTATTGAGTAGTGTAGCAAATTCTTGATTAGTATGAAAATAGGTTATTGAGTAGTGTAGCAAATTCTTGTTTAGAATGCAAATAGGTTATTGAGTAGTGTAGCAAATTCTTGATTCTTTCTTGAGGATAATTAGTGCAGTATTTTATCTTAAGAATGGCTTGAATTATATAAAAGATTAAAGCATGGAGAACGTAATGGTAATAAGATATTCTTATAAACTCCTTTTTTTTTTCCTCTCTTTTGTTCAGCTAAACGTAATTTAAGATGTAAATATGCTATATAAAAATAATACATGAAGCTGCAATTAATAGGAAATACTCATTACAAGATAACTATGGTATTTCACATAAGCCTTTCTTTTTAAATAAAAAATTTTTTTTAAAAAAACTCAAGTTCAAGCTTACGTTCGTCTGTCAAGCCTTTTTTCATCCAACATGACAAATGGTTGTTTCTTTTTAAAGCAATAAAAAGATAACCCTTTCGGTGGCTCAAACAAGAAATTCTGGGGAGCAAAAGAATCATCAGGAGATCTAACTTCAGTACGAATAGAAACATGTTTAAAGCTCTGAGTAAGTTTCTTATTGGGGACAACTTTTAAAGAAGCCTTCTTGAGTTTTTCACTGATATTTTTGGATCCAGTATCTAGAATACAGAAAACAAATTAGCATAAAGTTTTAAAGCCTTTCTTTCTCTCTCTCTCTCAGAAAAAAAAAAAAAAAAAAAAGGAAGTAAGTTTGAAGAAATAAATAAGCCTAAATAGATTGTAATATCAATGAACATTTTAATGACAGACTTAACTTAAACATAGTTGCGTACAGCAGAGAAAAAAAAGAAGACGAATTTATACATACATAGAATACACACAGTTATGTCATCATTCATTGCGTCATAAACGCGAAACGCGAATGCGCAGGAGAGAAGCTCTCTCTTAAGCTAAACGTCGTATTATAATTTATGATACAACAATCCCCCTTTCGACGTTTGGCGGCTGAAAAAAAAATAAACATTAATCATTTACAGTTATTCCAATTAATTTACATCACTTAGAATGTTTCGAAGCAGATTAAAATGTTTTTGTCAGTACATCTGCAGGCATTTTCTCTGTTGGCATGTATTTAACATCTATTTCATTTCTTTCATAAATTTCACGTATGAAATGATGTCTAATATCTATGTGTTTAGTGCCTTGAGTGGATAAACAGCAGTTTTTCATAAGCTTCTGTGCACCTTGATTATCACAATATATAATGGTTGGATAATCATCATTAAAATTTAATTCTTTAAGAAAACGACGTAAATAAACTGCTTTCTTGGCACTTTCTGTAAAAGACTGATGTACTCTGCTTCAGTACTTGATAATGCAGAACAGTTTGTTGCTTTTCGTGATTCCCATGTTATTCGGATTTCCAGCTAGCTTGAATAGGTAACCTGTATACGAAATTTCTAGTATCAACATCAGACGCCCAGTCGGCATCGCATCGGTATATCCAATATTTGCTTTTCCAGTCTTTCGAAATTTTAGACAACAGTTTTTAGTTCCTTTTAAGTACCGAAGAACGCGCTTTGCAGCCAACCAGTGCAATTTTCCAGGATTGTTATTAAATTGGCTCCAGGTGACTGACGGCATATGTAATATCCGGCCTAGTAAACACAGATAAGATACATAAGCGAACCAATTAGACGGCGATAAGGTATTGTTCATTTCTTCCTTTTCGGTTTCAGAAGGACACATTTCTTTACTTAATTTTACACTAGGATCTAAAGGAGTTGCTACTGGTTTTGCATCTTGCATATTAAACCTTCGTAGAATATTATCAACATATTTCTGCTGAGATATAAACTAATAGAATTATTATTTACATCTTGATTAAATTCTATTCCAAGACAATAATGAAGTTTGCCTAAATCTTTAACATGAAATTCTTTAGAAAGAAAGATAACCTTTAAGTTCAGCATATAAATCACAGCTATTTGTTGCTATTATTAAGTCATCAACATATAAAATTAGAATTAACTCACCTTGAGATGTTTTCATCCTGTATACACACTTATCTGATTGTAATGGTTGTAATCCAAAGTTTTTGAGTTTTTTGTCTAATTTTTCATACCACTGTCGTCCACTTTGTTTCAAACCATAAAGAGACTTTTGCAAAGCATAAACATAATCAGGATTATTTTGGTCTTCAAAACCTTTAGCTTGTTCCATGAAAATTTCTTCTTTTAAATCTCCGTTAACATAAGCCATAACAAAATCTAGTTGATGTATAACATAAGGTCTTGTTCAGCACTGTATGCAATCACAGTTCTTATAGAGCTTGCTCTGGCTACTGGAGCAAAGTTTCATTAAATCAAAAAAAAAAAAAAAAAAAAAAAAAAAAAAAAAAAAAAAAAAAAAAAAAAAAAAAAAAAAAAAAAAAAAAAAAATTCCAGGTTCCTGTGCAAATCCTCTAGCAACCAATCGAGCTTTTCTCTTTTGAACTGTTCCATCTGCATTATATTTCATTCTAAGAACCCAGCGACATCCTATTACCTTTTTGTTGTGTGGTCGCTTTACTAATTTCCATGCACCATTTTTAACAAGTGCTTCATACTCACTTGGCATAGCCTTATTCCATTCTTCAGCATAACTTCCATTTAATGCTTCTTCTAATGTCGGATTTGTATCTTCTTCAGCAATTTGTGCTTCTTCCTTTTCTATGTTTATTGTGGTACTCCTTTTTTGGTCTTCCTGGCTTCCCAGTCTTGACTTTCTTGGACGACCTGCCCCCCCTTTTAATCTGCATTTCAGGTATTGCTTCGGAATCAGAATCTTCATTATCAGATGATTCAGCAGATGCTTCTGCCATATTTGAGGGGTCTTCCGTTATTTCATCAGCCGATATTTGATTTACATTCAGAGGTTCTTCCTTCTTTTTATCAGGAATATTTTCGAGAAATAAAAACTTCTAAATCTTTATCATAATTAGTACAGTTTTCAAATTCATCAATGAATCTAACATCTCGGCTTATAACGATTTTTTCTGGAATTTTATTCCACAGCCTGTATGCTTTCGATTCATTTGAGTATCCTACAAATATATGTTCTTCTGGATCGAGGATCGAATTTCCCTTTAGACCTTTTATTAAGTACAAAACATTTCTGTCCGAATACTTTGAAGTGAGATACAGTTGGCTTGATGCCAAAAAAATAATTCTAAGGGGTTTTGTTTACTCCCAGGCTTCGATTTGGGCAACATTACGAATATAAACAGCACAGTTCAAGGTTTCAGCCCAAAAGGATTGGGGAGGATTACTTTGTAGTAACAAACATCTGGCCATTTCAGTTAAAGTGCGGTTCATGCGTTCAGCTCTCGAATTCTGTTGAGGAGTCATTGCAGAGAATTCTCGTTTAATTCCGCATTCTTGAATATATTTATTAAATTCTTCTCCGCGATATTCGAGACCGTTATCAGTCCGAAGGATTTTATTTTCTTTCCTAGACGATTTTCGACCGCAGCTTTGTATTTAATGAATGCATTTTTCACTTCATCTTTAGTTTTAAGAAAACTGACTTCGACATAACGCGATTTGTCGTCTATGAAAGTAACAAAATAACGCGAACCAGCATGGGATGGGACTCTCATAGGTCCACACAAATCTGAGTGAATCAAGTTCAGTAATTCATTACTTTGAAATTTTGATTCTTTTTGAAAAGGTTGCACAGTTTGTTTACCTCGGATACAGACTTTGCAGTCTTTTAGAGATTCCGTGTTATTAAATTTAAATTTCTAACCATGTTATCAGACTTAAGTCTTTTCAAATCAGACTCATTTAAATGACCTAATTTAAAGATGCCACTTTACAAAATCACTTACCTCTGCTATTGCAGCTGTTTCAGTGCTTTATATATGTATATAATAAAGATCACCATGACGAATAGCCTGCACTAGTATAGATCCATTTGGTTCTATTATTCTAGCATGTCGTTCTGTAAACATCACCTGAACGATTATTTGCAGTAGCTTTAGATATTGACAGCAAATTACATTTTAATTCCGGAACACATAACACATTTTTTGAGCGTAAAGTTTAATTGTCTTATTTTCCGTTAGGTACTGTTATAAGGACAGTTCCAATTCCTGTAATCTTTTGCTGTTTTGTAACTGCTAACTTTATGGTTGAATTCGTTCGAGGGTGAAATTCTGAAAATAACCTTCTGTCATTGCACATGTGAGATGTACAGCCACTATCTAAGCACCATGAGGAGATCTTCTGATAAACATTGTTTACTGCTAAACTAATCTGCTCTTCATAATTAGAAGCCATCATAGAACCTTGATTTCCCCTATTTGATTGTGCATATTTTCTATCAGCTATTTTCTTTCTGCATTCAGATGCCTTGTGCCCAATTTTCGAGCAGTAATTACACTTCAAGTTTCGAAAATTTCTTTCAGCAGGAAAATTTTTGTTTGAATTTACCTTCCATTTTTCCTTTTTCTTCTGTTCTTGATTTCTTCTTTTATAATCAGTATAGTATGCATTCTGTGAATCTTGAGATGATTTCCCTTTTCTTGCTTCCCATTCTTCTAACATTTTGATTTTCAAAGATTCGGGACTAGGTAACTGATCTCTTGATTCGATGGCGCATCTAAAATTTTCAAAAGTTTTCTGGAATACTGTAGAGCAGAAGAATCGATAATAAATCATCAGCTATGTCAATTTCCATTTGTTTAAGCTTATCAACTTATTTCGAAGAAATTATTCAAATGTTCAGACATCGTTTCGCTTTCCGCCATTTTTCTAAATAAAAGCTGTTTTAATAATGTAGCCCTTCTTCGCAGGTCCTTTCGATTCATATATGGCTTTGAATTTACTCCACACAGCATTTGATGTCACACAATGCTTTATATGACACATTCACTAGGATTAATAGCAAGAATTATATCTGCGCGAGCTTTTTGATCAGCTTGGAGCCATTTCTTTTCGTCTTCGGTTCCTTCAGCAGGTTTTAGCACTTTACCGGTTACATAATCCCAATGGTCGTTCTTAATCAATACTGCTTCTATTTGTAATTTCCAACTGTCAAAATTATCTTTTCCGAGCTTTTCTATAGTAGTCAAATGCGACATAATGTAATACAGTCTCTCACAGCCAAATAAAAACAAGATTGAGCGCTATAAAAAATAGGCTTAACTGAACGCTGATCAGTTTTTACCGTTGATTAGACGTAACAGTTCTTGCACTGAATTAGGCTTAAGAGTTCAATGCTCGAAAACTTCAAAATGTTCATTTTAAAATAGGTATTTTGCTAATTAGGCACAGTTGAAACGTTCCTGGGCCCATAACCATTGAAGAAATAAATAAGCCTAAATAGATTGTAATATCAATGAACATTTTTAATGACAGAGATTAACTTAAACATAGTTACGTACAGCACAGAAAAAAGGGGGAAGAAGTAAGAATGGTATACATATACATACATACGTAATAAACAGTTACGTCATCATTCATCACCGCGCGGATAAACGCGAACGGCGCATGCGTCAGGAGAAGCTCTCTTAAGCTAAACGTCGTATTATAATTTATGATACAACAATCCCCCTTTCGACGTTTGGCGGCTGAAAAAAAAATAAACATTAATCATTTATAGTTATTCCAATTAA